ACATGCCCATCACACGCTAGCTTCAAACTATGACGGGCGTGTCACTGTACATGTATCGGCAGGAGCAGCAGGATGGTGAGCGGATGCACGCCCAAAACTGTCAGCCACGCGGGTGTGCACCACAGGCATGCATGCCTGTACAGTCTTACCTGTCTCCTTGACGAGTGCAATGCAGACTGACGCCTTGCCCAGCACTTTCTTCGTGTAGTACATCTCTTGAGAGATGAGTCTCGCATTGTATACGGACAATATGCACCCTGATTGACATACTCCCTTCGCAGTTTTGTACCTCAGTACCTCTGTTAGTCCTGAGTGTCTTATTGGATCTAGGTCAACGGCAGGTTATTCCATGCTATTGTAGTCCCTGTACCCCATACGCACCATGTAATGCCCTTGACTTGTTTAAATATATTGCTTTTCATTACATAGCCATCAATGAGAGGTGTGCGGAGGATTACAACATAAGCTACATATTAATTACAGCAGAAGTTCAGTCTGGTTACCAAGAAGTGCGGAGTTCTACGAAGCTTGGTTAAGGAAGTACGAGCACTACGAACCAGGGACTAGGCTATGGAAGTACCAGCGGTGTGTACACTGTGTACTGATCCGCAGCCTTGTTTCAGTCTCCTGATGCTTTCGTGCACCTTCGTGCACCTTCGCACACCTCCGAGCACTCGAAGATTCAAATGAGATGCATAATCACGAAAATGAAAACCAATTGTCAGCTTACACGAAACTGAATAATAAGTTGAGTGCACGAATGCGCACGAACGCGCACAAACACGCACGAACACGCACGAACATGCACGAATGCACACACATTAGCGCCATCGCCAATCTCAAATCAGGGCGTAACCAAAACCAAAGCTCAGCGGCATGCACGATCGTGTGCGTTCGTGCGCTTTCGTGCGCGATCGTGTACGTTCGTCTACTTTTGTGCACGATCATGTACGTTCGCCCACTTTTGTGAGCTTTCGTGCACGTTCGTGCGCGTTCGTTCACGTTTGCGCACCCTTGTCCGCCAAACTGTGAGTACAGTCTGCACCAATTCCAAACTCATTTTTTTTTGTCCAATAGCAACCTTCATAGTTTCAGCGACGGGCGACGCGTACCGAATAGTCTCCGCCATCAGAGTATCCCGCAGTCGTTCCAGATGTCTTACCTTTGTAGCAACAGTCTGCCTCCGGGACGAAGCCTTAAACGCGTTTGTAATAGCTAGGAAATTTACCACTTTTTGCCCACACACACCGTCTGCACTCTCGACGAGCGGCCGACTAGATGCCACCGTAGTGAGCCCCCTAACAAGGAGTGGAGTTAGAAGCATTCCGAACACGTCGATTTTGTCTGCAACATCTTACTAGCGTGGCCCGTGATTTTGGTGAGTGCGAGGAAGTCATAAGTTGAGGGATCAGCTGAGCGTTGCACGTAAATGTCAGAGCGTGAGTGGCGAAACTCAAAACCTCCCCCCCCAAGGCCTTGTGGCGTCCGCGATTCGCCGGCGCTTTTAGGCCGAGCAGGCTGGCCCCGACTTGGCGCTGCTCTGCTCCTCGACGTTCGCCATGTTGATCTCTATCCAGCATCAGACATCCTCACGCAGCCTCTTCTTTGGAGAGATTCCCCTGAACATATCCTACACTCCGTCTGAGCTGCCCTGCTTGCCAACGCTGCCAGCAACCCTTTCCCTCCGGCACAGAGCTGAAGAACAGCCATTTTATCCTGTCTAGAACGATAGGGTGTCTTTCTCGCAATAAAGGCTCCCTCATGAGCCCTCCAAACGATTCTTTGCCTTTCAAGCCTCTCGTGGACCACAGCGAGTGCCCAGGCTAGCATGTTTTGGGAGCATTAACTAGGAGGAAAAGGTCGTTGATCAGAAGTATGCTACAGAGTTGGAGCTAGGTGCGTACACACACTCACTCTCATCAACTACTTTCTAAAAACTGCAGCAGAACGACCCGGACGCAGTGCTGAATCTCGCAGCAGCCTGCTCGCATACGATCCGCTCTGAGTCGCCAAAGCAGATTCCTTTCTGCAGAGCAATTGAAAACTCCAGATACAGGTGCAACAGGATGAGCGCCGCTGCGCGGTCTACGAGAGCGCTTCTCAAGAGGGCTGTACGAGCTGGACCTCAAGATCTCAAGCCCCAGCCCATTCTGAAAGGCCTGCGAACAGCGTCAAACGACGTATTTGAAGAAGAACACGCCGTGACTCAGGAATGGCAAGCTCCTGTGGAACACTGAATGTGGCGTCGCCGCTTTCGAGAGCAAGCATGGGGGCAGTGTCCTCTGCTGCCCAAGCCCGTGCATCTTGCAGAGCAATCGAGAAGCTCGTATGTTTACTTGGCTTTTGAGACAAGCTCTACTTCTCACGCAGATCTTAAGATTGACAGAAACGAGAGCATCTTTCACAAAGGCGAACATCCTTGACAGGGGTGCAAGCGAAGACGAGCCCCTCGTACTTCCGTCACTCTATCATGTTCATGCCCACGTGCTGGCTTCACTCCTTCCCTGGCTCTCAAGAAGCACCGACTTGGACTCAGCCAGATGTGCAAGCCGCTCGAGATGTATACTCTCCATCATTGGACACCACCTTGGATGCCATCCTCGTCGACATTTGCATGGATGCTGACAACATTATCCAGGTATATTCGACAACCCTGTGTGCGGACAACTCGCAACTTATGAAGATTTTTGTACAACGGTTGTTGGTCGCCCGAGAGCGACGTCTATATGTATGTCCTCCTTTTTTTGCAGGTATGACCGCCTCGTACTCAGCTCATTTTGCAGCGCCGAATGCGTTGCAAATCAATGTGCCCTCGGCCCACTCCACAAACCGAGCGTATGCTTGAGCATCGAGGCCCCCCACCCACACAAACCCCATATGTCTGCGGCAAGGAAGAATGTAACGAGTGGGCGAGCAGGATCGGCAATGCAAAGGCATCATCACTGGCACCGACGTTTACCTTTTCCGTGCATTCTTCATCGTGAACTCGGGCGATACGAGTCTAATCAAGGCTGAATATCTGCGTGCGCCTATAATTCCCGCCACAACATCGGCTTCCCAGCGATGAACGCTATGTCCGGGCCTGCAGGTGTGACGGCGACGACGTCACCTTCCACTCTCTCTGGACCCTGGTCGTAGGCCCATATCATGTCTTCTCCTCGAAGTCATCGTACGAACAGTTTTGTCCATCATGGTGGCCATCGATGTCGAGCAAGCGATGTGATGACGACATCCAAAGCTGGCCTACCCCACGACGCCATCTATGCCCTCTTGTGGATCGTCTGGCGGCCTGTCGCCCGTCCCTACCACCGCATCGAGGTTCTATTGTGCCTGTGAGGCTCATTCAGCGGCCGGCCGGCTTTGAAGTTCTGAGGCACCAACTTGCGAGGCTGTTGGTCAGAAACATGCTGCGGGATCGGGGATCAGGTATGCACATATATCTCCTCTCAGTCAGCTGCTGTCTAACGACTCGCAGTCACTTTTGGATGTCGCGTCGAGTCTCACGAGAACCTGCCGTCACCGTCGCCAGAATTCACTCCTTCGAGGTGGTAATGGCCCTTGCCACTCATTGATAAGGCAATCGAAGGCCCGCAACACAGGCATAACCAGAGTGGCGTCGTTGCTATGATTTGCGAAAACATATCTTAGGATGGTTGCCCGTGCTAGGTTTCGAGGTTCGGCTTGTTACGTAAGGCCTACGAGCAGCGTCAAACGGCGTAGGAGTAGAGAGAAGGGGAGGTTGATGCCTGGAGACGGCAAGATCTTGCACAACCCCAAGTGCAGCATCGTCGCATTGAAGAGCGGAGTCATGAAAGAGCGCGTAGGCAGCTGACTTCTACAGTACAATTCTGTGATGGGGCCCGAAATGTCGTATGTCTATTTGGCTTTCGGTGCAGCTTTCACTTCTCATTAAGATTGCAGGGTTGACAGAGATGTGAAGATACAATGCAAGAGCTCGCTTTTTTGTTGCTCTATCACGCTCACAGCCACATCCCGGCTTTGTCCCTTTTTTGGCTCTTCAGAAGCCCTGACTTGGGCTCGTACAAGATGTACAGACTGGCCGAGATGCATTGCCCACCCTCTTTATGGGCCGTCTCGATGGACCATCCCATCAACATCCGCATGGACCACAGCAACATGGCCCAGGTATGCTCGACAGCCCGGCCCGCGGGGGATATGGAGCGTACGGAGAACCTTGCATAGCGGTCATATTAGGGCAGCATTTATACATGTATGTTCGCTTTGTTTATGGATATGAGTGCCCTGTACTTAGCCTGTCCTTCAGCGCAGAGTGTGCATTACGAGTCAAGTCTGTGATCAGCACACCCTACGGGCTGAGCGGACACCTGCGCTTCGAGTCTCTCAGGCTCATCAAGATCACCGTCTTGTACTCCGACAGCCAGATGAATAGTGTGACGAGTGGGCGAAACACGAAGGCACTGCTAGCGGCGCAGGCGCTTACCAGGCGTCCTTCACCATGAGCTCTTTCGTCTGCTTCAGCGTGCGTTCCTTCCCATTCATAAGTCCCATCATCTGTTGCTTAAATCAGCATACTACATAGTCTGCAGCAGAAGGGCAAGATGCACACCTGAGTGTTAGTGTAGTATGAGATGCTCGCAGCATACCCCATGTTCGGTAACAGAGGCTTGGGCGAAACCGGGCAATTGATGTCGGGAATACCCTTCAGACTGTCGTCATCACATGCATACGAGAGCAGATTGTCGGCGCACGAACTGCTGGCTCTACGCAAGCCGGCACGACCCGGTGAGACGCCTTGGAGTTCATGTGAGCGGCAGGGCAGTTAGACAATAGCCATATACGATGACGGTCAAGGCTCATAGTCGTGACATTCGACGGCGGGGCTACGGGATCGCTGGCAATCCTGACATCCCATGGTTGGCTTGGCCTGAACAAGAATGAGCTAAACTCTGCCCGAGACATGTCGTATGAAACGCACTATGATACGCGGGGGCACGGGCAAGGGTCCCGGCTCGAGTAGTGGAAAGTACTCACGATGCAGCCTCGGACAAGAGAAGCCTAAACCTTCAGATTTATGGTGGAAGATGTGACAGCAGTAAGCTGAATCCGATATTTTACGATAATCTAGCTCAGCGGCATGTCCCATCCAACGCATGGTGACATACCTTGGGGTCTCCACTACGACGTCTCGGCGAATGCCATGTCCGTCTCCCGCCGCCAGCAATTACCTCCATGCCATTCCCGAGGCAACCCCTAGAGCCTCCTTTGCCACCATTGAGATGCACTTCCAGCGGTCGCTCCCTAGCTTCACCCCTCCGTACCACCGGTAAACGACGAGGACGACATCTCGCCCTTTACAGTCCGGCGAGAGCTCAAGCAAGCGTTCCAGCCTTTCTCCTGCACCAGACTCACCGCCGGATACTGAGCCAGAGACCACTTGTTCACGAGGAGACGTGATCGCCGAAGGTAAATTTGAAGACGCGGGCACTCGCTTTGGCTTTGGACGTGGTCCTGATTCTGGAGGCGGCCCAGATATAGCTTTAGGCACCGTAATGCGCCATGCGTACATGCAATGTGATGCACGCTTTGCCTGCGAGTTGGTACGTTCGAGCTCCTCGAAGAAGCGGTCTAGTCTTCGCGTCACCTCCACTGCACTGGCACTTGCAAATGAATTGACCGGGGTCGAGGATAGCCCTTGAGCTTCGCCATGATGTTGGCATAGAAATAATGGAGGAAGACTCGAGACATAGGCCTTGAAAACGGACTTGTGTAGGGTGAGGCGCGACGAGGAGTGGATAGGGTTTGGCCAGTCAGAAGCCTGGGAAGTTTGCGTGAACGTGTCCTGGCAACTCAGAGCGGGGACAGCGTTTGAGAAGAAGCGTGGAGGAATGCAAGTCCATCGAAGGAGAGCAGAACAAAGCCTGACGGATATATGAAGGGACATCGCCAGAATTTTAGAACCTCGGGAGTCGGATCCCTCACAGGGTGGTAAGCGCAGTTTTTTTCTCAAGAAAACTCAGACAAAAGCGGCTAAACAAGGCCCCGTTATTCCTCGATTCTACGCCGATGCAAATTGAGGAGAAACCGGTGCAAAACCAGCCAAAAGGATCTAAAACACAGTAAAACTGGCGGAAAAATGAGTTTTGCCTTCGGTTTTTTCAGGTGAAAACCGGATAAAGTTGGGGCCTTGTTGGATCAGTTTTTGGCTAATTTTACGCCGGAAAAAAGTGCGCTTACCACCCAGTGCCTGCATTGGTTATCTTGATTATGTAATTTGACCCACGCGGAAAGTATGAGGGTAGGCCGAAGGTTCGATTTCCCCTTAATCCACTTATATACTTCACATACGGTTCCCTCCTCAAATTTGCCTCATCTTATTTTTCCAAACCTCTTGCTCATCTCTTCGTCAAAGACGCAGGAATCATTAATCAAGGATCGCCCTAGCACTGAGATCCAGCGTACACTCGATATATTATATAACCCGTACTGGGCACAGCACACATATCCTAATGCACGTTGAATACAATGTCTCTTAGTGATTAGTAGGAAACATAGAAGCATCGCCCCGCGACGATATTGTAACAGTTCTCAACGCAGATATGCACATATATATCCTTCAATCTCTTAGCTCTCGAAGATAGGAAGCAACACACCAGAGATAGCTCCGAGCTTACCTCTCAAGCGATGCGCTTGTTTGTGGCAAGAGAAGCGATGATGGGCCCGGGGGACGGCGTGTTGGAGCCACTTTGCTGAAGCCGAATTAATCTGGATAGCGACGGTCGGTTTGTCCGCGTTCCGCTCGTGGCTGCATGGGCTGTGCCAGAGCAGTACGCAATTGCGGCCTGTCCCTCCTCGCCCTGAATGGGCGAGAGTCGCGGCCATTCAGAGAGATCGAGGGAGGATTTAGGCGTGGACAGACAAGATTGAATCGCATGAATAGCCAGGGGCGCAGAATGTTTCTCCTGTGGTGCTTCAGGAGACGTGGGTGGCGTAACCGAGGTGGATGCGAAAGGCTTGGGACTGGGTTTTCGCCGCAAGAGGCCCAGCCCGGCGATGGGGAAATTGAGCGTAATTCCGATACTCTGTGGGAGCCTCAGTCAATTGGAGCGTTGTCGGTAGGCATTGCACACACCTCGGGACTGCCCGACGACGTCCTACCCATCTCGACAACAAAAGCCTCAGGCTTCACTTGTGTGGCGCGCGTGGCGGTAGACGAAGAAGGTCTGACAAAAAGGGTAAGATAGTATCGAATGTTGAGACAAGAGGGCGTACTTCATATTATGCAACTCCATGACTGTGCGTACGAGGTCAATCTGCTCTTGGATCGATCTCCGCAGCCTGCTCGCCTCCTTCCGATGGAACATCGTCCAAACAACTGGGTCCATGGCCTGCCGTAGTACCGCGTTGACTTCACGGACGAGTCGGGTCTTCGGGGGATGCTTAGTAGTTAACTTCAGGAGAAACTGCCGGATGGCATCGGAGCAGGCTTTGAGCGGCCCCCGTATGGCGTCGGCAACATCAGGTGGGAGCGACGCGACTGAGAATGTGGCAGCAACCTGCTTTTCTGCCAAGTGCAGAACCTTCTTGACGTCGTCGAGGTACGTGAGCATCCTCTTCTTCTCCTTATCTGCTTGATAGCACCCCTCGACAAACTTGTAAGTATACGCTATGAGTCCAACGAGCGACGCGAAGTCTCCGAAACTCCCAAACGTAGGCGCAAAAGAGACAGACAAAGAAGACGGAATAGATGGTCCGGCCATAGTTGCAAAATGTCATAGTAGTGAACTGGAAAGAGGTCTCTTAGTTATATATAATTTCATGAAGGGGATCGGACCCTTTCCGACTATACTATGGGAAGGACGTAAAGACATGCCGCGAACACGTAACAACATAAACCTTCACCTTATCCTTGGGCTGTAACACTCGGAACATGAGCTCCTCCGTCGACAACGGGTGGTACTCGATCAGAGTTCTTGTGAATTTTCGCATCCGTGCTGTTGACTAGAGCCACGTCGTAGACAGCCCACCGCCAATATACTAGGCACCTAGGTATTTCTGCGCTGAAGTTGTCTGCCATTGCGTAGAGTCTCCCGCAAGAGCGTTTGTAGTCTTCCGGCGTGAGTCGCTCAGTCTGAACATCTGTCGGCGAGCTGTGCGTGGGAGAAGATAGTTCAGTGAGCTGTGCTGGAGCACCGATATGATGTTTCATTGCACCGCAGAAGCCTTCTCGCATAATCCCAGAGTCCTAGCATGGATCGTCATCTGCTCAAGTACGGCGGCTCTTCACAGAGACCGGATCTGACTCTCACGGAGCATAAACGCCACTCCTAGAGCGTGGCAAAGGCGTGGTAGGGGCATGTCGCTAGGCAAGAGCGACGCAGCCAAAGCTGGTAAGTTGTCCTGTGTTGGGCGTATCATGACACGCTAGTATCGAGAGCACCCGAGAAAAACGGCTGTTAACAATTAACAAGTGGAGAATCAGAAAGCTGCGCACTCGAGGACACCATGGGAAAGACGAACTCGAGATAATTTTACGCAATCCCAAACTTCTCCAGCGATGACGAGAAAATAGCCAATCCTATATCCAAAAGAATTCTTAAAGTACAGCATAAAGGGCTTCAGTGAGCAAAGCGGAAGTCAAGGCGACGATTCCCAACATCCTTCGTCGTCGCCAGATAGTGCACCTGCTGCTCAGGAGTCATCGCGTTCCAGATGCGGTCGCGCTGCTTGTTCCGCCAGATGTAGTACAGCTTCGTGCCGGGGTAGAGAACGATCAGGTTGATACAGCTGATTGAGATGAGGATGCGATTGCCCCGCCGGTAGCGCGGCGCGTCGTTTGACTGATAGATGTACGCAGACACGACGGAGGTCAGCTGCACGAACATGTTGTACAGCGAAGCGTTAACTGTTCGGCTCGCGACCGCACCCGAGTTGCGAGAGCACCAGCCAACTTGGATTGGATGCGTGTACGGGTAGGACAGCAGCGCCGTGGCCAGGCCCTGTAAAGACAGACACCTGTGAGGTGGGACGGGTAAGGGCCACTAGGTGGAGGGTACATACATAGTAAATCCACTGGTTCGGATTCTCCGGGAGACAGTAGATGGCGATAAGGAACGGCAGGGCCCAAAAATCTTCAAGCATAGACACCACAGCACGGTCGTTGACCGCCTCTGAGAGTAAAGTGACCAGCCACATGGTGATGATGCCTAGGAACGTCGATGGAATTGTTAATAAGTTGGTCTCGAAGGTGCCGAAGCTGCGCCGAAAACGGGTCGGTCACAAGATTATCCCGACAATATACAAGGATACGCACCCCAGGTTCCTGAGCGAAAGAGTCAGGTAGGTACCTGGCGGGGAGATAGGGATGCCGAATGTGAGCCCGCTATCAAGAAGCTAGGATTAGCACATGCACCAACAACGTAAAGCCGAAAGCTTACAGGATGTACAGCGGCCAAAGATCGTAATCGCAGACTGCGGTCCAGAGACGCTTCAAGGTCAGGCCCTCACGATTGTGCATGTCGCCCTTGCTCGGATCGTCGCGAAGCACACGAGAGACGATGATTGTCTCTTCCCGCTCCGTGAACCAGCCATTCGGCCTGAACCACTTCTTCGTCTGTGTCGGCGAGGGTGGCATCATGAAAAACGTCGCTAGGCCGATCACCAGAGTGAGGCAGCCCCTAGGATTGCAGTGTCAGCTACCGCAATACCAACGAGTACAGCAGGATACGCACTCGACCATAAACAACCATTGCCAGCCAGCCTTGCCCAAGTGCCCACGCAGACGCAGGACGCCGTACGCAATGAAGCTGGCGACGATGCTGCAGACGTTCGAGGACATCCAAAAGTATGCTAGACGCATAGGCAGCTCGGTCTTTGTGTAGAAGTCTGAAATCGCGTTAGCGTAGTAATTCCGTGGATAACGTTGATATACACACAAGACATGTAGAGTATCAAATCTGGAATGAATCCGCCCTGGATAAATCCGAGGAGAGCACGGCAGACCAAGAAGCTCGACCGACCCGAGAGCCAGAACTGACAAAGGGTGATGATGGCTGCCGCCAATTTAGTACATGATGTAAGTAAACCTAATTGCGAAACACTTACACCAGAGGCACATTTGCGTAGGGATCCAGCGATCTGGACCAACCTGAAAAACGACATTGTCGGTGAATCGGTCATCAGCTCATATAGCATACACGTACCCTTTTGCTGACCAGCTGGCTAGGAAGTTCAGCAGCCAGAAAAGCGAGACGGAAGATGACGTTTCCCAAGTTGTAGTCATCTGTTGTCATGTGTAGGTCGGGCAGGAAGTTGTCCGTATTGGCTTGTGACAGGTTGCCTCGGTCGATATTCAGCTGGAACAGAGACAATAGGTATCGGCGTATTCGGAGATGGTAGAAAGACGCACAGCGGAGAAGCTAATAGCTGCCCACAGCATGACCCGCCAGTCAATCTTCCGCACGATAGCCTGTGTAGTAAATCTATATCAGTGTTGGGATCAAACAGAGCAGATAGATTCGCGTACCCGCTCCTCACGGAATGTCCAGCGAGCATTTGGATCAAAGCGGTGAAGGTTCTCGTACTTTTCTGGAGGCCAGTAGTGCTTAGCCAGGACGGGATCATCGAAGACACTTCGTCTAGTCGCGCAGCCGTCGGGGTCGAGCAGCTTCAGATTCTTCCGCCGGAAGAGGACATCGGTAAACCGCGGCTTCTCATCGAGAGCAGGAAGAAGGTCCGAAGTCGAGGGCGAGAATTCACTTTCGCTCCCCTTCTTGTCGATAGACGACGTGCTCGAGAGGGGCGCGCCAAGTTCGCCTTTCGTGTCAAGCGGTAGCTCTGCGAGAGACTCAGACGTCATGATTGTCAGCGGTAGCGGCCTATACTGAGGAGAGTGAGACTTGGGCCAGAAACCGGACAACCACTCCAGCTTGAGCAGCTGGGAAGCCCTAATAAATAGGGATTCGCACTGTCTCAGGTGTTCCTGCCACGCCATAATCATTCATACAGCGTATGGGCTCCAAGGCTAGTGAGAAAGGTATAATTTCCCGCTCTTCAACCGCGCAGATAAGCCAATGAGGCCGTGCGAGCGTGGTATTGCACCATTCAAAGACGCTGTACGCAGCGCAGTCAGTAAGCGCCGAAGACGCAGTAGAGAAGCCCGATGGCGACAATCGCGCAAGCGACCAGGAATTGTGCCGAGGTCAGGCTTGCATATCAATCGTGTGTACAGAAATGCCAGTATTGGGACAGCAGGCCGCATGGACAGCTGCAACGCAGCGCCGGGCCGCTGTGCCAGGAACGTTTGAGAGCATATCGCGCGATAAACTACACCGATGTTGCAAAGAAACAGTCAGCAATTTCGCGTTGCACTCTGTGTAGAATCGTATATCCGGTCATGGCATGAGCATCTCGAACAATTGCCCAGAGGGAAGAGTGCCGAGGATGCTTGCCAGATACATCAAGGACGGTCAGGAAGCGACTCACTCATTGCCAGCAGTTTGGCTCCGCCTGGAAATCGTCATAAATAATTTCATCCTTCTGTAAAGCGCAGCCGATCTATCGCTGTGCACGTATTACTGGCTGCGCGACGCATCAACCCTAGGCTCACCAGAGCAATACCAGATATTGTATCCAGATCCGACACAGCTTGGAAAAGGATGTCCGTAGAAGTCAAAGCCCGTAAGAATGACTCCAGCGCTCCTTCACATAGAAGACTTACCTGGCGTACTAGCACGACTAGGGGTTCAACGCACAATGCACACTTTGAACGTCGAGTAGTAAAGGCTAGGTACTCTGAGATTGCAAATACTCTCGTGAAAAGAATGCCGCAACGCGAGAATACTGCGGCTATCAGGGAAACGTTCCATTTTGCTTGTTGGGTGAGATGGAGGAGTGTCTTCAAGGCTCTTCAAGGTAAATGTAAGTGTGCGTTCGGCAAATTGTCGCAAATTGCCGGCATGAGCCATCATACGCGCCTATCATCCGGACTTAATTTTGAAAGCCGGAAGCAGGCGCGGGCCACCACTGAGCTCGTTCCACAACCTCTCCTTCCTGTTCATCATGGCCCACGCTTTCTTGTCGTAGATTTCGAGGAAAGTCAAGTGAAAACGAAAAGTCTGATTATATTGAAGCATGCAAGGGGATGACGAACGTGACGCCTACGACTGCAACCGAATTTTGGGGGCTGAGAGGGTGCTATGCCGCGGCGTCTCTACTGCACGTCGTCCAGGCGTCCGCGTATCCGATCGAGCTCAAGTGCTAATACAAGATGGCGGAATTCACGCTTGGACTAGACTTGGTTTGCCAGCTAAGGTTCGTGGGTATCAAGGTGACGTAGCGACTTTCATTTCAAGTCAATACAATGCTACCCCCGCTCCGCGCCTCCTACAAATACTGTTTCACAATCTGCTCTCGTCTCGTGGAATTATGAGACTTCGGGATATATTATTTTGAAGGCATCGGAGGACGGCCGCTGCTAGCCCCGCGGGCTGTTGCTGAATGATCTGCAAATGGTGCAGTAGGCACGGTTTGGTCAATATCTCGCACATAAATGACCCACCATGTGGCCTGATCCTTGCACTCTATACATCGACGCATATCGTCCTTCTGCTGCAACCCGGAGCATATCCGCATGGAATGATTCAGGTCTAAAACAGTATCATCATCCTCGAGACTTTCACACGTAACGAGAATTACACGAGCTTACATCAAGTCTGGTTGCGCCCCGAATATGAAGTGGACTGGGAGTAGCAAGCAGACGAAACGGAGGTAATCGTACGCGCGTACTATCCCTTGGAATTCGCGATACCCGGCCTAGAACAATAAGTCTCAACCCCCATAACTCGTGAGAGGGGATAAGAGTCAATGCTTACCGCTTCGTACTCGCGTGGGCATTTCAGCGTTACGCCTTCTCGCTCTTCCGGATAGAGCGCCGTAGGTAAGTCGCGGAGGGCGTTTTCCTACATAGATTTCAGTATGTCAGAGGGCAGCCGCTGCGAGACTTGCAAGGGAACACCCACAACGTATGATACCTGTACCTCTGGAGCCCACGTCCGGAGCCGGCGGTTGGCGCGCATGTGTCTCAGAGCCTCTACACGGCTCTTCCACTTGTATTGTCGCCGTGCAGCGCCGGAGGACATGTCGAAAGCGAGGTTTCCAGCTTGTAAGGGGGAGAGAATCATAGGTTCCGCAAGGATAAGGGAGGAAAATTCGACTGTAGGAATATACGTATCTATCAGTACTCTACTCGTTTTACGCCATTTAGTGGTTAGTACCGGCACAAGAGGCAGAGAAAGCACTGGGAACGTACAGAGGGACGCAACCAGCGGAGACTCCAATTCCTACTAAATTTCTCTTCCGAAAGTCGATATCGACGCCGGTACCCAGACCAGCCAGGAAAACGTGAAGGCTCCTCGTATAATCTTCCCAGTAACCTGAAAGAGATCCGTCAGAGGTGGACTGTATTTGTTCAGAGACACTTACACGACGAGGGGTATCCGGTGAACAGATACTCGTTCGCGATGGCCGAGTCCCCATGGTTTGGCGCGTCGATCGCCCACGCTTCGCGAACCTTAATGTCCGTAGTCAACCCTGACGACATCAGGCTGAACATATGTCGCAAGGTTGGCTCCCATAGCTCTTTATACTGGCCCGCAGGGTGAATACAGATAAGGGTAAGGGCTTCTGGGTCATTTGAGCAGAGGCTAGGATGCCAATAACGTTTGGCTGGAATCTACGGGGGGAGCTTAGTTGCTTGAAAACTCAGGCAAAATCTACGCACGAGAAGAGGGTATTTGGGTCTCGGATCGAAGAGGTACGCCTCGAATTGCATCTCGGCAGTGTCTAGAGACGACGACGAACTCATAGAAGCATAATAAAATAGCCCGCTCCAAGAGAACGCACTTTATGTATGCGCTGGAACGCCGTCATGGGCGTGTCGCGCTGTGGCCAGAAGGATATCCATAGGTCCTCGGTCGGCTCTTCGTGCAGATCCGAGGCCTGCGCAGTCCGACATGTGAACGGATACCAGTGTGCGCTGATGTTCTTATACATCGGTACCTATTGGATCAGCTCTTTCCGTCCTAAGCATGGCTCGAGGCTGCACACAACGCGAGCTGATACCACTTACCTGGACAAATAGCAACGTAAGCATCTGGTGACAAGCTTCGTAATACTGCTGCTGTTATCACATGGGTTCGACTCATGCTTCTAGTCCTGTATCCGTCGAAAATGTAGATGTTAAGGACATCGTAAGCCACGGCCCTAACATTCCGACTGGTACCTGGAGATGGCCGGGGGGGGGGGGGGGGAGTGTACCTGCGCTCTAAAAATGACGCAGAACGCGAAGGAAGTCAATCTTCTGGCTGGAACCAGGAGGGTTTGCAAAAGCTCGGCCGTGTCGTCTACCAGAAACTGCCAGCTGCTGACAGCAGCTATCACAGTGAGGAATGTATATGAAAGATGGAACAACGTTGACTCACAATCTACATCGAGGCTCCGTCAAGATCACTGCAACCTGAGCTTTCAATACTCTCGGCCCTTTCTGGCCAGCATGGTGGGCGATCGTCAAGTTTGGTATTAGCGGTCACAGACGGAAGGGTGATTTGCGGAGGTAAGAGGACGCAAGGATAACGCGAGCGCGGCCCTTTCAATACATGACGTCCGAAAAAAATGACCGCTGCCCTCGCTCTAGCGAGTGTTAATAAGCGAGGTTGGTTGACAAAGCAGGCGCGGATGTCGACATCCGGGAGCAACTCTGGAGGTGAAGGCTGAGCGCTGAATGCCCCGAGTATGCTCTAAGACATTATTAAATATCCTCTACACGAGAAGGGTAGACAGAGGTAGATGTCGAGGTGATGAAGTTCATGTAGGGATCATGCCATGGTACGGATCCTCGCTTGAGGCCGAGGCCGAGGCCGGCCCCGCGACAAAAGCGCCTATTGGCGATTTTGTGGCGTCCCGACCTGATGCGCAAGATACCCATACATGGAGATACGCCGTCGACGCAAGTTGCCTCCGGCATCAATTCGGCATCAATTCGATAATACCATTTTCGCTCTTGCCTACAGTTATCACTAACGTCTCTTTGAGCTTCATCCAAAATGACGAGGAATACATGGAATAACATGTATATTCAAGAGACAAAGGAGAGGCGGCATTAGAGGGAGACTGTTTGATACATGGATGTCGGACACGACAGGACGCTATGCACAGTAGTATACAGATTACATACCGGGGAAGCAAATCATACAGCATGTCAGATTAAATAGATAGAATAAAATAGTCGTTAGGCGCTCTCTCTACGAGACCGCGGCCGTACTGTGACAGTATTCGTCATATCATGAAGGCGAGATGCCTCCGCCGTTGTTCGAGAAGCGGCCGAGCTCGAACGCTTCGGCCTTGGGGTCCCAAATTCGGACCCGGTGGTTGTCTTTCTTCAGCTTCTCCACGCGCAAGATGAGCCTGGAGAGGATTATGGCGATGAGCGACCAGACGTTGCTAGAGAACCTGTTAGTCGGAGGTGTTGGGCGGGCAGGAAGATAAAGAGCGCACAAGACGATTACTAGGTCTTCGTATGGCTTAAAGATGATAATGGTTAGAATGCAACATCTCGAGGATTTAGTCGTATACGTACTGGTAGTCGCACGAATATGATGAAGTTCATTAGCCGCGCCACTGGGTATCAGACCGTCAGCTAACATCGCCGCGAAGATCACCTATGGTACTCACGGAACAAGCACTGCAATTTCAAAATCAGCTATCGTTCTGAAACAATCAAACCAACGTAGACTTACGAAGAACCACGCGGCGCCATCTCGCCGCAGCGATGACAGAACGTCTGTGCTCTGACGGTAGGGTCTGTCGAGAGCATTCGCAACAGCCAACGTGATCGCAAATGCATCAAATGCAACCTGAGACACTGCGCGTTAGCGCTCCGAAGCACGGAACGCCACTCCGGGGGCTTACCAAACACGCCCAGAAGCCTTTTCCCACCGCTGATCCGCTGATGATGAGGCAGGTGTCGAGCGGCGCGAAGTACGTTGTCTGTCCTGCAACGCCTGTGAGCGGCGACGCTCTGCGGGGATGAAACGCGTGAGGCCTACTGTGCTCTTGTATCGTCTGGATGACGCCTAGAATGAACGCCGGGAGGTATGTGCAGATGAGCGCGACGATAATGGCGTACATCGCTCCTTTCCGGTGGTCCCAGAGCTGGTAGTGGTATAGGGCCATGTACACTGTTATTCTGCGTCGGCAGTGCGTTGCCAGATAAAAGGCAAGACGCTTACCGTTTGCGAGTAATGATGTTGCCATTAGAAGGCAAAACAGGACAACAATGAACGACTTGCAGCTGGAGAGGGAGCGTTAGCGGTCAGGGTCAGCTTAAGACCCCTAGTACACAACACTTACGACTGCAAAAACAGTTAGCTTGGGATACGACGGTGGACACGGTTTGTACGCACCTCTGTCGTTAATGGCGGCCTAAAGCCGCTGAACACTACGGGATAAACGCACGTCAGCAAGCGCCGAATACTCTCGTCGTCAAGTCAACTCACTGTACGCGACGTAGAAAAAGCCCCCTTCCGTCCCATAGCGATATAAAACATACGTCACTTTCGTAACGTCGATCTTCTTGGGCCATATGTAATCGATTTCCTCGTCGAGACTGATGATGTGGTCCCATAGTACCGCAACCATGCCTGCCGCTGCGGAAGACAATTCGCGTCAGTGACGCTCGAGCCGCCGCGCCAGGCCTAAGAGGAAGGGACGCACCAGACAAGTACTTGGTCGCGAGCAGGGCGGGAACGGACGAGAGGATCGCACTCGCCGGTTCGGGCCCTACAGTGCTGTTCATCTTTACGCGTAGGGGACGGAGGGATCGTGTGGGTGCAAATACGGCAGCCAGAAATGTTATATGGACACTGCTGTGCGGGTCTGATCCGGGTGCGCCCCTCCTGGTGTCTGCCCTGACACGCAGCAGTTAGCGCGTAGGCGGCCCAGGTTGGGTGATGCTGTGTAGAGTTATGGCGACCTCGACACGAGAACAGCCGTCGGAGGCGCTCAGGCTGCTAGGAACTGCTAGGATTACTATCGTGGCAGGGCGGATCATCCATGGATACCAGTGTACAGCCCACTGTCAGCCATGAAGCGCGAGCATGCAGATAATAATCGTGCTAAGAATGAGTAATCAAATACTGCACAGACTATTCATCTACATACGTGGCGCAATGTTGGGAGTGGATCTGAGTGGAGGCCAGCCATGATCAGCTGGACAGTGAACGTCAAAGTCGGTTACGGGGGCCTACCGCGCAATGTCCAACGTATCGTTGCATGGGATGCCATTGCGAGCCAGGGACTTGCGAATTGAGCTAGACCGGAAGAATGTTAGGACACAGGTCATGATGGCATCTTCACTGCTCGGCTTCGAAACTCTATGGCATCAAGTTGCCGCTGATTATGGTCAATTGTGACATCGGATCGGCGCTTTAATGTCAGTCGGAGAACGCGCACCATTGCAGTCTTTTCGCATTCTCGCAGAGTTCACTGTATCAGCTTGAGGATCCAGCGCGTAAGCTGGCTGGTACAGTGTCAGACATTACCAAGGACGCGACGCTGCAAGATTTGGCCCGCGATTGCCAAGGCTAAGTGTTCTCACCAGGCCGGAACCACGCGGGATAAGCTTTTCAAGTCGACCTATGAATTTCGATGCTCGGAACCTGTTACAATCCATCATGCCCTGGCCGTTCTCCGTGTAGTTCCAGCAGCGTGGGCCAGTCCTGTATCGTCGCCTTTTCTCAGGCTAACCAAGACCGGTCTAGATCTTATCGAGGGCAGCCTTCATCTGTTCTTTGATATCTTGATCCTTTGGAAACGATTCGAACCGGCGAAAGCATACCGTGCATGTACCTCGAGCGACTGAAGTAGTACGGGTCGAGAGCTCGAGGGAACCAGCTCTGGAAGGCGCTGAAGGCGCTTACAATGCACGGTCCACGGGGTTCGGCTCTCGCTTTGACCGAAGCTTGCCCGAAACTCAACATCCAGCGTCCCGCCATGAAGCTCCCATGCACTCCGCACACCTGAAGCTTGAAGCTCTTAAGTGGTAATCTACTACAGTCAGATAGCTCTACACTCACAGCGCAGGGCTGCTTCTTCATTTGCTTGCATCGCTGAGACATCATTGCTCGGGCAGGACAGACAAGAACCATATGCACCCTTCATGATGAAAGTGTCGAACAAGGCCTAGCGTATGCGATCGGACTTTGCAATATGTCACAAACTACAGCTGTAACCCCACCGATCCGCTTGGCCGGGACGCGCGCGCGTTCACGTCCTGGCAGCAGCCCTGGCGCATGTGCATTCTCTGTACAATGGCAGTGCTCTGCGCACATCGCGCGCTGCGATGCCATCTGACGGCGCTGAAAGAACCACTCGTACCGTGCCTTCTCGCTTGCCCGGTGGGCAGCCTTTGATGGTCGCTCGGTCGTATATCCTTGTGCGTGCGGTCCCCGGCCTGCCTCGTCTTCCTGTCTATACCGCATCTCTTGACACTCATGGCGAGCGAGTCCAGGTCGAGCACAAAGTCAGACGTTGAGCTCACGACCAAAGATGCGAGTATAAGCCAAAACGTCTCCAAGGTTCTGCAGCCCGCGCCGAAGGATCTACGCTTCGCCCTCGTGTTCGTCGCCATCTGTGCCTCGCTCTTCCTTTCCGCCCTCGAATATGTATTTCCACTCAATATGAACAATATTGCCTTCCAAACTGACCTGGTTAAAGACAGCTGTGGCGACGACACTGCCCACGATCGTCCATGACTTGAATGGCCAAGACTTTGTCTGGATCGCCTCGGCATACGCCTTGGCCGCCACAGCTTTACTTCCGACGTCAGGCGGATTGGCAGAGGTAAAGGCGGTGATCTCCCCTTGCGTCTCAACAGCTCACGGTCAGCGTAGATATTCGGGCGTCGCATCATGATGCTGGGCGCGCTAGCTGTCTTTGCTCTAGGAAGTGCTCTTTGTGGTGCGGCAAAGACGATGAACTGGCTTATTGCCGCTAGAAGTGGGTCTCTGAGAGCGTGCTTCATAGGTGAAACGCTGAGTACCGTCGCTCCTCTTCAGCTGTGCAGGGTGCGGGAGGTGGAGCCATCATGTCTATAACCAGCATCATCGTCTCCGACCTTGTACCCCTGCGAGAACGTGCCATGTACAATGCACTCATCGGACTGTGGGTTCATTACAAACTTATCGGTTCCGCTCTAGCTGATGCTTGGTAGGACTTGGGGTGTAGCGTCGGCGATAGGCCCGCTTGTCGGCGGTGCCCTTGCCAACGGCGGAAAATGGAGGTGGCTCTTCTGTGAGTATCTTCGCGAGAGTATTAACATGCTTCAAATAACATAAAAAACCAGACCTCAACCTCCCGATATCCGGCGTAGCGGCAGCATTGGTGTTCTTTTTTCTCCATTTGAAGACGCCCGAGGGCACTTTTCGCGAGAAGATCTCGCGGATGGATTGGGTGTCAGTACTGTCTCACCCTCTCGAGCGCCACGCTGACTTGTAGTTGTCCAGTGGCAACTTTCTTATCGTTACCAGCTCTACAGCGACGGTCCTCGGCCTTACATGGGGCGGTGTCCAGTTCGCATGGACATCCGCACAGGTCCTTGTTCCGCTCATCCTCGGCTTGATTGGAATCGTCATGTTCTTGATCTACGAAGCCTTCGTACCGGTGAATCCAATTGTAAGTGCTCTTCCCGCTTTTGGCTCACACGGAGGAGCAGGCTGACCATTTCATCGCAGATTCCATTCTCGTTACTATCCAACCGCACCAGTTTCAGTGGGTGAGCAGCGGTTTCGTCTCTGTCTGCTGCACGAACTAACTCCCGTGCAGATACCTCCAGACGTTCTTGGCTCCTATCGTAAACAGCGCTATTGTCTGTATGTACAAAATCATGTGCGAATGCCTCCAGGGATGCTGACTTCTCGTAACAGGGTTCATGGCGACGTACTTCCAAGCCTGCCGGGACGCCTCACCCATCCGCTCCGCGGTTGACTCTCTCGGCCTGTGCCTGTCTATTGGACCAGCCCTTATCGTCAGTGGCATTGTCATCGCCGCGACCAAGACGTATCGCGTGCAGCTCGTCGTCGGCTGGATCTTCTACATGGTTGCGACCGGCGCGCTCTCGACGCTCACCGCGGACAGCTCGACGGCGCACGGCGTCGGCTTCCTCATCCTCATGGGTATCGGCAGTGGCATCCTCTTTTCTGCGACGTACTTCCCGGTGCTCGCACCGCTGCCCGTCTCGGAGAACGCCCACGCACTCGCGCTCTTCGCATTCTTCCGCTCATTTGCCGGTGTAAGTCCACCTCTCTCTCTTTATACTCTTCTGTCTAACGTGTTCTCTGCAGGTCTGGGGCGTGACGATCGGGACCGCAGTGCTGCAGACGCAGCTCACGCATCGTCTCCCTGCGGCCTTCCTCGCACAGTTCCCGGGCGGCGTCTCGCTCGCGTACGCCGCGATCCCTGCCATCCGCACGCTGGACGAGCCGCTCAAGCAAGAGGTGCGCGTTGCGTTCGCGCAGAGCCTCCGCGTCGTCTGGGAGGTCTCGATCGGCATCGCGGGCCTCGGCCTCCTCTCGACCCTACTCATGAAGGGCCTCCCGCTGCACACACAGATCGACGAGAAGTGGGCGCTTGAGGAAGCAAATGCCCCGCGGCCCGTCGATGTCGAGCTCGAGCAGACGTCCGAACTCCCCCGGCTGTGAGCTCCCCCTCCGATGTGAGCGCTATGCTTTCGTCATGTTTCCGGGATGGACAGTGTCGGACTTTTAGTAAGCCCGAAGTACATGTTTGAAAATGTGCGTTTTTGTAGGCGGCGTTTACGTGCAGATGTACTCGTCGAAACGTATCATTATGGGCGGTAGTGTACAAACAAATTTGTAATGGCTGTGGTACCGCAATACGGCGTCCGTGTAAAGTATCATATTGGATCCTCTACCGGCTCCTGCATTTTGATCCACAGCGCACCCTGCGAGAAGGGCGTCAATGACGGCAATTTAACCTGATAGAACTATGTCTTACCTTAACAAACATTGTAAGATGTGTCTGAAACTCCACTCCACTCCTTGAACTTGACTCGGAGGCATCATCATCGTACAACACTAATTCAAACTGCGAAAAACTTTGCAACAGACGAACAAGTACAAAAGACAAGGAGTTATATGCAAACTGATTGCGTTTCAGAATCAGCGACAGCGCGGAGACGAAAAACGATGGGAGGGCCCGTACCTGCTGCCCGAGACATATCCTCGGCCCCGCATGAAACGGAAGAAATATCGACGGATTTGGTATAAAATACTTGTGCAGCCTCTCGTCCAGCCACCGGTCTGGGTCAAACTCGTCGGCTGCGAGAAGGAACAAGGACTGTATGAGCCACGCCGCTTTGCTGGAGCGTTTCTTCTGGAGGGTACTCACCATCAGGACCCCAAAGATCCTTGCGGCGATGCATGATCAAGAGCGCCACGTAGATCCGTGTGTGAGCAGGAATATATACGGGCTTCTCGGTCGGGCCCGCGGCGGGCCAGACTGTCGGGCGTGTGCTGGCGCGAATGGTTATAGGCCTGTGTATCAGCGTGATGAGCAGCGCATCAGAGTGGCGAAGGTAAAGCAACTGACACCGGAGGGTACAGACGGAGGACCTCTGCGCGAAAGCATGGAATGTTAATGTTCGAAGCCGAAATCAGGCAGGAATGCAGGAAGAACATACCGTTTATGAACGCGCGCAGGTACTTCATCTTGTGCAGATCGTCGTAACTGGGCACACGGTGTCCGACCATGTCCACGACCTCCCGCCGTAGGCGCTGGCACACATCCGGGCGCTGCGTCAGGACGTACACCGCCGAGGTCAATGTCGATGCCGTCTGTGCACATCAAAGAGGTCAACTCGTGGCAGTAAGGTTAAATGGAAACCGCGTTACTGTATCGCGCGCCCCTATGAGGAGGTTCATTGTTTGATCTTTGATCAGCCTCTGGTCTGCAGGGTGCATCAGATGGGGCTGCAATGGCAATACTGCGACCACACACTCACCGTCAGTCAGGCGCGTCAGATATTCGAGCAGCGTCTCCTCATCCTGGCATTCCGCGGATCGTGGATGGTGCTTCTCCCTCAGCACAACACTCTCGATGACGGGCTCTAGAAAGGACTCTATGACATTTACGTGCTCCCGTACCCTATTCCTCCAGAACTCGAACAAAGGCCAGAAGCGCCCGTACCGCAGCCGCCGAGCCGTCTGCACCTGCGCCTGCTGGAATGCATGGAAGAAGTGGTGGACCCGCTTCCCGTCTGAGCTTAGCTCGCGAGAGGGATGGAGCGGTGGGCACGGAAGGTCAGCGGCGAGTGAGCGGAAGTCATGGCCGAAGAGAAATGTCGTGGCTGTATCAAGGGTGTACCGATGCGCAAGATCCTGCGAGCACAGCCTCAGCGATTGAGCAGAGAGTTCAGTTTAAGGGATTTCAAACCTGCCAATCAGCGGGGAAGCCCTCCCGCATCCGATCCTTGAGGCGGTTTATCAATGTCTCGGTGTGACTGATGGATGTGAGCATTTCAAACCCTGTCTCACGTAACAGTAGCCAGATAGCGTACTCATAGAACAGTTGGAGATCCGAGTACCGGTGTTTGTTGAGGAACGGCCGGGTCATGCCTCGATGGAATCTACGTGAAAGGGATAAGAGCAATGCGAGATGCGCTTAATGCTCTATACTGACTTCCACAAGTCCCCCTCCGAGGTGAGCACCCCGTTGCCGAGCAGGTCCAGGAACTGGGATCGAAATTCGGGACCTACACCTATCCATCAGCATTTTTTTTTTTATAGAGGAGACGGTTTTAAGCGGCGTACCTTTCTCGTAAGTTGTGGCGTCCGTCATGAGCACTCTCTGCTCGATTATGTTAGTCGATGGTCTGGAGATCGTGCCGCTCCATTCACCTTGATATACTGAGGCTCAGTGACCAGGAACTGCAAAAGAAACTGAGGCTTGTTCAGGGAGGGAGAGTGGTATGTTGCTCACTGCGTCCATGAAGAATATCTTGCACCGGCAAACCCGCCCATATATTCCAAGCCAATCAATATCGCGGGCTCCTTGGTGCTCTTGTTTAAGTTATGCATAAACAATCAAGATGGTGATGCTCACTGTTCATTGCCGCATGAACGTCGTCCCACGTCCTGCGCAATAATTCCAGGTCCCAAGGAGTATTTGATGCAGCCATCAAGGGAAGCAACACAGCACCAAGAGATACCGTCTCTCTCGATGCCTTGATATTGTGGTACGTAATGTACCCTACTACCGCAAGGGGGACGGAGACAGCGAGCACCAGTGGGGGAATATACCATGCCTGTCGTCTCCACCCATCCCAGCCGGTCCGTTCCCACAACAGTGTCGATCCAACACACAAAATCAGGAGCATCGGCACCAGAGGCGCAAGAAAGCGTATGCCGGGAGGGACGGTGGCGAGCCTGCTCATCGTCGACGGCGATCGAATCATGGAGGCGAAGTGGTTGTGGGTTGCGAAGAACGGAGCCAGACAAGGGCTCGGACACCATGCATCATCGTTCAGCGTGCCTTTGCCCTGTGGCGCTCTTCGCAAATAGCACCGGACGCTTGTCGTCCTGACGCCTGAAGGGCCTGAAGCTTTGCCTGATGCAGGTGTAGTTGCTCACATGGGGCAGTGTCGGTCCCTCTCTACGTCGCAGCTGGCGCTACGATGTTATCTACACATGTGATTCGCTCGGAGATGTAAGAGAGTGCCCGGGACGTCTTACTTCTCCGGCATCCTCTGCGTCCTCGCTGCGAGGGCCAGACCTCTCCTAAGCGCAAAATCAGAGTCAACCTAGTAGGACTCACCTCAGCTGCGGTCGTGTGGTGTACGCCTGCAATTGTCGTTGTTGTCCCCAGCGACGAATGCGGGACTGTCGCGCCTGTAGCACAGTCCGCATGGAGATGAAATAAATTGCCCTCAAGTTGACGTATCAATCAGAAAACAGAGCGGCGATACTCCCGGACGCCAAGCGTCTCCGACGAAGAGCGGACAACGGTTCCGCGCTTCGCGGAAAGGCGCCAGTGATGTGGGATGCGGGCGATCCCGTCAATTGTGGGAGCCAGGCTCCGGGTAATGCCTGCCGCCTGTTCTCGCTGAGACAAATGAAGCGAGTCATTAAAATGTTTAAACCGCTACGCTAGGGCAGCCACTGACAGACTGAGACAACTCCTCGGGTCCCTCGTCTCTCTCATTGAGATCTAGATATTTTAGGTCAGAAAGGGACATTTGCTTCAAAGTGTCGTCAAAGCGACGTGAGCTTAACCTTACGATAACGTGGATGACAACTCCCAGCAAAGAAATCGTGTTCTGCAGTATATTTCGACGAGCTCACCATTTCACGAAGACGACCTTTCTCCATCCATTTCCGCCGGTGCCACAGAATACGTTGTTGGCCTAACATACTTGTCAGGGCAGTCGAGAAGCCTGAGCTGTTGCCGCGCGACCTCTGGTAGATTAAGTTACATGCAGCGAGTTCGCCGCCCGTTCGAAGCCTCTAGATGCACGGACGCGCGAGAAACGGCATTGGAGAAGCGGGCGAGTCGATAGATATTCGCTGCCTCATTTACTTCTGCACAGTCTCAAACCGGCTGTGAACACACCTGTGAACTGAAAGAGTCGAGGGTGTCTCGGAGCAATGTTATAGCCGCACGCAAATCGAGCCCCTGAACATCCCAGCAGCACGCTCCCAACGATTTGGATATTGCTTTCACGGCCGTTCAGATACTCACCTTGGAGTCGCCGAAACCAGGCGGCGGTATGCCGAAACGGAAATGGGGTGGCACACGGAGGCATGTGCGTGTTGGAGGCGAGCTATTATTGACCAATTAGCACAACATTTAGCGATGCTCAGCAAGCTCACTGGCCGCCCATATATAAAAGGCATCCAACCAAGAACACGGCTGAATTCAGACCCCACGAAAGCAAATGTAGGATAGCTGACCTGTATGAGCTCGAATGTCTTGCCCATCAAAGTGTAAAGATGATGAATGATTACGCTTGCCTGAGGACAGTTAATCGATGAAAGCACCTCGTGAATAGTAGCTGTCTGTGGTGTAATTCATTACGTTTCCTAACGCTCCATTTGTTGTAGAGATCTCTGCAAGAAAGTTAGACTGGCACCGTTACATGAAGCCCTGTAACGTACTGAGAGTCCGGATGACCGCGTCATCAGAACGTTATTGCACAGCTAGATACCCTGATGCGACGAACAGCCGACAAAGGCCCTGAAAGTACTCGGTTAACATATTAATGTCATCAACCCCAGTCATCGCCTCCTAGGGCTTACGCAGTGGTCCTATTTCAAGTTATTCGCAACGTTAGTGGCTCTCGGACATCTCTCTACCTGCTCAGGACCTCCTCCGAAGTCACAGCAAGTAGCGTGTTGATAGAAACGGCCTTCTTCGGCCGTCAGCCCAAAATGCGCACTACAGGCGGAGGTGGACGAACAACATCAGGAAACAACGCCAGCGCTACACAGCGCTTTGGGTGCTGCGGGTTTCTGGTAGACTGGTAGAATGGTACCCAATTCGGCAGCCCCCTGCGGCTCTCGCTGTGCCTCCGTGGCACCAGTAGCTGCCCGCCTTTGCTCAGTAGTTCACCGCAGCGTGGCGGGAGCTTGTTTGTAGATGCAAGTAGATGTTACCACTTTTGAGGGTGCACATGGTCACACCAGACATTAATGAGGGAAATATATATATATTTAAATATGTATTAAGTTAGGTACATGTTGGTATGCTACACATCCTTCTCGCAGTCATATAGTCATGATAACTTTGGCGGCATGTGCAAATGGTAGGCACAAAAATAGATGTGCAACATATGAGTCAGAGCTATTCATGGTAACAACAGAAGAGGTAGTACTCACCTAAGTGCCAGGCTCTTCAGCAGTGGTCACCCTACTTGGCCTGGGAAGTAGTATTGGACTTGATAATCATGAGGCCATGGTGGAAAGACCAGCATAGCCAGACTTCTATGAGCTAGTGCAAGGTTAGCTCAGTGATAGCCAAGTCATGCAGAGAAAATACTTACCTTGTCCGCGGCCTGTAGTCCTGCCATCCGCATCCGCCCGTATCCGGATCTAGCATGTGCACACGCTAGCCTGATAAGTCCAAAAGTCAGTGATATGCTGGCTAGAGGACGATCCAACCCTCTGCAGCCGTTCACAGTTCGTGATGCTTACTGCGTAGTCCACAAGCTCTTCGCTCAGCAAGACAGGGCACGGCCGTAGGGTGCACTGTTGTTTTTCGTGCTTGCTCCGCCGATGGTAATGCGGCATGTATGCCCGGGGTCCAGGGATGTTGGGAGCTTCAGCTATCGTGGCCAGCTTTTGTCCATTCTGCCAGAGTCCCATGGAGGACGAGGCGTCTGTGACGGCTGTAGCCTCAGCAGCGTACCGAAGGGATAGTTGAGCTGCGTTACGATGGACTGATGTGGAGGCTGGGACGCAAGCTGGGACGACGAGATGTTCGAGCGCTTACCTTCGTCCATTCGCGCCATCATCCAACACTTTAGGGCAGACGTCCTTGTACTTCACAGACGCCTCTTGGACGCCCATGCAGGCTTGCCTTGGAGTGCTGCTCATTGGTGCACGTATCCAATTTTGGTCTGGTAATGACACGGGTATGTATCCTGCATACAGATCTGCACACCGTAGCTTGAATAATTGATATAAAATTTCTGGCACATCGTAGTGACCCCTAGAATGTGTGTGCTGCTGCTCGGTGCTACCAGGCACTCCTGAGCCCCCACGCATGCGCTACCCAACAAGGGCAGATGCGGTGGCTCAGGGTAGTAAGCGCCCTCGCTACGTAGTCAGACGGTGTTTCCTGATGAAATGCCCGTCACAAATGCCACGGCTAGTGCGCCTTTCGGCGCCGCATTCGTAGGTGTCCGCGCGCCGATAAATGCGTCAGCATGCAAGACCTACCGCGACATAACCCACAAAGAACAGCAGGAGGACAGAGTGCCGCTCTGCGATGCAGTCGACTTCAATTGCCATTCGAGATCTAAAAGGCTACGTGTGTGGCTTGTCTTGCCGTATGAGCTCACCAGATGGTCGCATCGCCCATGCAGAGCTGTCTGGCCGAGACCCAGACGCTGATAAATGAAGACGTTGATATCCGGAGCAGCCCACTTGTGATGGAGCTCGCCGTTGCATGAGGTATCATAGTCCCCAAACCGTTCAGAAAGCCGAGTATGCCCCCCCCGGGGGGGGATTTTGGCACTGACCCAGGTGGTCGTGTAGAAGCCGGTCTCATGATATGAATCATATAACCGTCTCTCCGTTTCCTTTTTCTATGTCATCGCCGATGTTACAGATGGGGCGGAGCTTCTTGCGGTGGGCGCAGCATAGAGATAAGATAAGCGCCAATACTTTAAATGGAAAGTCTTAGATAAGCCCACTCTCTTAAAGCTTAAGCCGTCTCAGACTCGCCCTGAACTGCCCCAAACTGCCCCTAACAGCTCATATCGTGTTCGAAACTTCCATCTACCAGGCGAGGGTGTCTGTGCATGCTCAGCCATTACTCACATTGGGAATCACGCCTTTCAACTTCCGGAGAACCTTGGTGGGTTGAAGGGAACTAGTACTGTGCAAACTACACCGTTCGCAACAGGACTGGGACTGCAGCAGCGTAGTTCTCGCATTTGCCTGTTGTATCTGCGCTTGCAAGTGTGCATGCTGCTTAGTTTGTTGTGCTGACGTACAAACTGTGTTTAGACAAGGAGTAATGGGAACCCACCGTTGAGAAGCGGTTCAAACTGGCGAAGAACTCGACGGCCATTTCTATCCGTGAGGCTGCTTCAATCATAGCGATTACGCAACCTTGAGAGTCCCCTACTTTTTGCGCGTGAAACACTGTACGTAAAATCGCTTGCAATCGATGGCGATGAAACTGAACTCATCCGACAGCCATCAAAGAATACGGGGCACTGCTTGGGACTTTGTGGATAGTTTTGAAGTAGAGTAAGGGTGATGGCGGGAGCACATTATCCAGGTACGTCCGCATAGTACATGTCCTGGCGACGGTTCCCAGTTGACTCTGGGTTAGGTGTCTCGCAAGCTTCCTGTAGATCGACTCTTTTCCCCTCGCGAGCGTATCCGACGTGATACCAGTCGAATCAATCACGATACCTCCTCTGTTTGCTCAGACGGATCCCAGAACTGAGATATGCAAGAATAATGCGGGAAGAGCTTCGAAACGACGCGATCGATAGGCTAGCTTTGGCCAGGTACGCACATAGCTCGGCAAGCGGTCACTCTACAAGAGCTGGCATCCAACAATTCGTAACATACACGTCGTGAGTCTCATACCAGAGGGTGCATAGCCTGTTGCGAACGATGCCATCAGAAACACAGGTTCAGAACATTGAAGGACGTGTCCGGTCAAGACTAATTTACCTATAAATGCAACTTGTCTCGGTGGGCGGCATTTAAACACACGAGGATCAGGGTCGGCCTAGGCGTGGCGGCGAAATACACCCAGTATCGGTGCATTGTGCCCTCCGGAGATGGTGTACGTTTCTCCAAACTGAAGCAGTTGTTTTTTAGACTGATGTTCCCGTTCTCTAAGTCCTTACGTTCGCGACAGAAGATTTGTGACGCGTCTCAGGGCCGTTGCATAACATCCATCTTGATTAATGAAAATGCTGGTCATTCGGTAAACCTGGCTTCGTTCTCCCCGCCCACGTTATCTCACTGTCGCCGCACAGGCCCCAGGCCGCACAAGAATACCCGGACGGCGTTTCACTTGCGGTCTCCGACGTTGTATTGAGATATCCCGTCAAGCCTCGTGCCCTGTTCGGAAGTCTCTCCGCCAAAGCTTTTATGTAAATTCACCCTACGATTTGAGCGGATGAGCTACTTTACTTTTGCTAGTCTGCACACCTCTCCAGTTAAGTCGCTTATACATCTCGACAATTACCCTGCGTCAATACGAAAGGACTTGCCGGATAGAAGTATGCACAGCAAACAAACATCATGCCTGGCCCCAGTTGGCCAGTGAGTTAAAGAAGCGCCCATAGGCAGTTTCACCTTTCTAAGTTTGAATTTATCTTGACGCACGCATCCTAGGTTGTCTAACGTGTGCCCATAATGTTACGTTGTCCCTTTGAGCCCGACCAAGGATGCAGGACTGTCGAAATTTGACGTGTTTAGTGTGCTTGAAGTAAGCGCGAACTAGCCCTCACGCATATGTTTTTTGCTCATAGCACTCCGCCACTTGTCGTGGCGGTAACAGTGCGTAGCTCTGCAGAGTGACGGATTTCGTCGAAGCCGAAAGATTAGGCGCTGCGTGGCGCGTACGGTAGTCAAATCGGTGGCAAGCACCGGCGAGCGTTTGTAAGAGCGGCCGAGACGGCCTCACGCGGCGGTGAGTATCCTTCTGGGGCCTCCGAAAGATCTACAATATACCTATGCCCGAACCTCGGCGCTATGCGCTTTGTTGTCGTCAACGCTCAAGAAGATGTCGAACACCGCCCATGGAGGTTATGCCAACGGCTTATTCACGGGGCCTGCCCTCTGCACTGGGCTCGGCGCTTGGGATTAATGCTCCTCGGTATTGGTAAACATCCCACTGACCTCTTTTAAAACATGCAACGCTCGCCATATTCTTCCTTGCACATAAGTCCGGCTGCACCAAGTCGCCGTCTCTCAGAAATTATGACAGCGCCAGTTCCCCCAGGTTCCCTCATCCTCGTCACCGGTGTCAATGGCCATATCGCCAGTGCCACCGCTCTGCGCCTCCTGCAGAAAGGATACAGAGTCAGGGGAGCAGTTCGTGCTCTCAAAGCGGGTGCCTACGTCCAGAACGAGTTCAAGGAGTACAAAGATAACTTTGAGCTCATCGAAGTCCCTGACATCGTTGCGTTTGATGGAGCATTGGATGGTAGGTGCAGGGTTGTCTGTTCCACGCAGTTGTTCACTCGTGTATGCATCAGGCATTGATGCCGTGATCCACACGGCCTCCCCGGTTACATTTGATGCGAAGACACTAGAGGAGTTTGTACGTGTTTCTAAAGCCTCTATTAACGTCAGGCTAACAGTCTGTGCAGTACGTGCCGTCGATCGACGGCACACTGAGTATTATGCGCAGTGCACAGGAGTTTTCTGGTGTAAAACGTTTCTTGTATTTGGGATCGGCGGGCTCCGTGGTCATGAACGGGAAGGATCCCTACAAGGAAATCACCACTCGCGATGACTGGAATATTGAAACCGCGAAGCTAGTCCAGAACCTCAGCGACCCGGCGAGAGGATTTCACATCTACATTGCGTCCAAAATTGAGGCGGAGAGAGCAGCCCGGAATTTTATGGAGACGGAAAAAGTAGGTCAACTATGGCTTGAACTGAGATGACGGTTGACTCATGAGTGCTCTGTAGCCTCACTACGCTTTCACCTCCGTATTGGGTGCCTCCGTCATTGGACCCATACACAAGGAACTGACTGGCCCACCACGTGGTGACCAGACCCTCGGCAAACTCTACGATGTCCTTGCGAAGCCGCCCCGCACCGAGGGGATCAGCCCGGTCAAGAGCAGTAAGTGAACCTCCACAACAGAGATCATTATAATTCCCACTCTAACAATCCCTTAACAGTGATGTGGGTCGACGCTTACGACGTGGCAGACCTCTTCATCGCGTCGCTCGCCTTCGACAAGACCATCGGCAAACGTCTTCTCGCCATCGCGGGTAGGATGTCCTGGGCCGAAGCCGGCGACATCATCCGCAAGGCTTTCCCCGACCGCCCTGTCCCTCCTGCTAGCACGAAAGGCCACACAGTGAGCTATTACGGGGCTGATGCCATTCAATTTGACACAGCTCTGGAGAAAGAGCTTCTGGGTGGGGACTGGCGCTCTCTAGAGGATGGGGTCTTGACCTGTGCTAGCGACCTTATCGCGAAGGAGTCCAAAGGCTGGGACAAGCCGATATCCTGAGCCACTGTATACTCAATGCGTGTACTTAGAGGCCGTGTCGACCACTCCGATACTCTCAACCGTGCAAAGGATATAAACACGGAGCGGAGACGCTGAAGAGTTAGTGGTCCGCGTTGAATAGATCTGAGCATGTGCAGGTCACGTCCAGCCAGTGGAAGCTCTCAGTGCAATATATCTAGGACCTTCACGTCGCGGCGTGCCGTAATACACGTCAGGAACACCCGGGTGTTACATCTTACATCTGAGATTTGTCGCCAGGAACAGTCGCATTTTTTTCAGGTCTGTGGCAGTACGTACAGTAGCCCTACGGGATGGATAAAAAGTCAAGCTGTCTAAACACATGTGGAACAGGTCGCGTAAGACACATATATGATCTTCGCGTCAGTGAAGCACTTGGTGGATTTTTCGAGTGTTCACGCGATGTCTGCAACCCAGTCTGCATGAAGCATTGATATGCTCTTCCATCTCGGAGAATAGTCTCACCGTCCGGCAGTCTGAGATCAGATGGTATGGTTTCGCATCACGATTGCGTCCCCAGGTACGCGCGGGAACTTGAGACACAGTGAGACAAATGTCGTCTGCATCGGCATTGCGATCTGCAGTGCGCGCATCCGCGTTGTCCGTAGTCTCGCAGTTTGGTGAGCGCTCACCATCTTCGCCGGGTGTGTGCGTTACGGATATGGCGGGTGATACAGATCACCGCTCGTCTTGTTATCCGGCGTGATGGTAAATCTAGAGTGCGTCGCGGGAAGGTGGTAAACTCTTGCGGGGGCGGCATGTTAAGCACGGGCCTAATCTAGATGTAACTGTTTGAGCTTTATAAGCTTGATGCTTTACATCCTGTCTGTAAAGGGGAGAGACTGCCTATCCCCGCCTGCCAAGTCCGTTGTTAGACAACGCCACCAAGGCGGCGCTTCGTCACATGGTCTGTTTCCGTCGCTTCCGTCGGGGGCCTCGGGGCACAGCATTGATACGGGAGCAGAGCTGGTGTCTTACACCATTGCATCACAATCACAAATTCTCCCCGTGATGCTGACCACCACACTTGTCGCACGGTAATCCTAGTGATGCATCGCCGGAAATGGGCCTAGCATCTGACACCCGGGCCATTACTGTTCTTGTCCTTATCCCGGATCCAAGACAAAGACATGCCGTAGACCAGTTATATACCCGCCTGGTATACCGCCAACTCTAACTAGTCTGCTCTCTCGACGATACACTGTATAGTTGCAATGTCCGCAGCAGTCCTGCCGTCGCACACGGTCTTAAACCTCACGTTCGGGTCCCTCTTGCTCGGAACCTTTGCATCGGCAGTGTGAGCCACGCCCGTCTCTCTAGCGAACTCTTCTCATGCGCTACCTTGCAGCTTTTATGGGATCATCTGCCAACAGTGCCTCACCTTCTTCCACAGATTCGCGAAGGAAAGTCTTGTCTTGAAATCCTGCGTAAGTGTCACCAGCACACATGTAGCCGTGCTCATGTTCATGACGCGCTGTCCGTAGGTCGCAGCGGTTTGGTAAGCAATATCTCACGAAGAGCAGCAAAAATTTCACGCGCGTTCCTTCGCAGGGTAATCGACTCGGCGCATCTGGCGTTCGCAATATGCTCGGTCTACATGTTCGTCAGCGCGAAAACGCGTCAATTCCTTACTAACCTGCGCATCGCTGATACCATATTGACATAAAGATTGTTGATGAATAACATGGGCCAATTATCTGGTGTTTTTCCCTCGTAAGCGTGCCTGCTTTGAATCGTCACCTTACAGTATTAAGTAGTTTGGACGTCAACAGGACCTTTGTGGTACGTAATATGCCACACTTCCTCTTCGCAATGGTCTAATAGCGCGTATGACAGGGCGTTACTATGACCACAGTATGTCATGGTTCTATTTCTCATTCATGCTGCATATGAATGGAAATCCTTACCCAACCCCCAGGCAGTTTCGGATACCTTCGTGCGGGGGTGAGCTAAATTCAAGGGCACTGCATTTTTTACGTCCTAATACTTATTTGCAGCATGTTCGTGTACCGTCTCTGGATAAGTTCGTCAAATGAGAGCGCAAAAAATAGCGTAGACTGACACCCTATTTCTAGTGAGCGAGAAACAGTGGGCTGTGCTCGTCATTCCAGTACGAACATATCATTGTCTTTCCCCGTAGCCGTGATGCTGACCTCTTCCTCGCTGAAGATCATCTTGAGTGTGGCCAATTTAGGTTCGAGCTCTCTGTCTGTGTACTATTTGCGTAATAGCTAGAGCTATTCGATTTTGTAGGCGCTGCAGTATGTACGAACGTTGTTTCATCTGTCCGCTGATTTTCCTCTTGCTGACCCCTAGACGTACAGCTGCCACTATTGAAATGTGAGATTTCTCCACCACCCGCGACCTTGAAGTTCTGACCAATAATCTCTGCCAGCGTGCATGTTAAGACCCTGGTGTTCACGCCTGCACTCAAAGTACGTCGTGCGAGATAATGCGTATCAAGCTACCGATGTCAAGCCTCTGGCAGGAGATTTTTATCGCGGACCTGGTTATGCTCATCGTTACAGATTTTTATATCGCTGCGACTATCTGCTATTTCCTCCGCCGTCCACGTAGACAAGTCAGCGCTCTGTAGGTCGATCAACAAGCTTTCATTTTCTGCGTGACTTACAGCCGTTTGCAGCACACTTTCAATAACTAGGACTATAATGATGTACACAATCAACACTGGACTCGTGACAAGGTACGTTATACGTATCGTACCCAATGGCGTTCTCTCCTCATACACTCTCAAACATGTACAGCGTGGCCTGGTTGGTGTGCCTGATTACAGTTAGTTCGCCGATAGGTCCAATAAAACAGCTGCACTGACTCCTGTATTTGCTAGGACGTCACTATGCCCAACGACTTCATCCAATTTGGCAGTAAGTATCATTACTCTGGCGTTAATATCGCTACTCACCCTATTCTCAGTCTACTTACCTACGAATGACCGTGAGTCGCCTGTTCATCTCCCACACAACTCTGCAAACACACTTCGATCTGTGCTCACCCGTGTCGCACAGTGTACAACATCTGTCTACTGACGTCGTGAGCGGCCTTTTTCATTCCCTACCGGCTCACTGTATCTCATGCTCTCCATCTTTGTGCAGCCTCAACGCGCGGAAGCATCTTCGCGCGGAGAACAGAGGTACGGTGGCCATACTGATGAACGGCATCAACGGCAACTTGCAGAGGCCAGCTACGGGAGACCCCTTGGGTAACCTATCCATGCGCAATCCGCGCAGCCATCGGTTTGCCTACGTGAAGGGTGAACCAACGTCGCCCATACAGGTCGGCATTATACACAAGCCTTCCGAGGAGACGGATGCCGGAGCCGTATTTCAACAGAAAAGCCCTGTCTGAGTGTCAGGAACCATGTGCCAGATTTCTTTTCTATTATCCTCTCAACGGATAGTATACACAACATATTCTCTCCTCTCGACGAATAGTGTAGATGGAATTTCCTTACATTATCCTCTCGACGAATAGTGTAGATGATATTCCCTTACATTATCCTCCCGACAAGTAGTGTAAATGATATTTCCCTACATTATCTTCCCGAAGAATGGTGTAAATATCATTTCCTTGTATTCTCCTCTCGACGAATAGTGTGGACGACATTTTCTTACATTATCCCGACGAATGGTGCAAATGACATTTCCTTAAATTCTCCTTACTACGGGCATTATATAAATAACATTCCCTCCGAGTGGACAGTGGCACTGTGACCGATCTGCGTAACTTATGTTCGTTTCCACATCTGCGGTCCAAGCAACATTATATTCGTACCCACTGCCTAGTCACTGTACCCTCAGCGCACTTGCTACGCTAGTACCGGACCGATGGCTGTCGGTGACCCTGGAGCAGCTCGTTCGTGCGTTCGTGAATCCGCCTACGAGGCCCGAGACCTGCTGGCAGCCAGGGCAATGCAATGCATGCGCTCTGGGAGCTGGTATCATGCCAGATCATGCACAGAGATCTTATGAAGCCGGGTGCACAGTAATCGGCAGGAACACGGACGGAGCTCCCGTGAGGTGACTAGAGAAAGTGTTCGCGAGAATGGCACTGTTTTTCAGCAGCATGCCGCGTGCGAGGAGGCGGTGACACACCTTAGTCTCCTAGTCCGACCTCCTGCCAGGTATACTGCGCCGGATATCGAGAGAGAGGTGACGCGCGACCGCAAGGGCGCACGGAATAGATCGGCATTTCTGAGACCAGCGGGATCGTCCGTAGTTTCCGTTTCTAATGCCTCCGGTACACTTTGAATAATAATGTATATGGTCTGTTATATCATCTAAAGAGCTGATAAGCATATGCATGTAACAATATTAATGAGAGAACAGACTGACCAGGTGGTGTTTGACTGGTACACTAGAAACAACGCTCTGTTAGCCGCTACAAAGCCAAGATGCTCGCTGCTGAATCATGTGTCAGATCTAGATCCAGCCGCAAAGGTGCGGTATCTTTCGGCTTTTAGCTTACTGTCTCGGTGCTGCCAGCGTTGGCGGCTCGGTGAGTCTGACTCTGTCTGATTGCGAGAGCCGAGGAGAGCCGTCACTTGACCGGTCTCCAAGTTCATTGCCGAGTGATAAGCGCACAATATTCAGGCGATAATTCACCGGAAGTGGGCTTGGCTCTAACCTCCTGGAAGAGGTAGTACCTTCTGTTTTGGCTTGGAACGGCTCCGATAGTCAGAGCTCGAGCAGTCGTCATAAGTGAGTCTGAGGTCTCCGAGTCTCGAGCGACATGCACGGGTGCGACTGGCCCGCGTGAGGATACGATGGTGATGATAGTCGAGATGGAAAACGCGAAGATAACCTGGGTCTAGTACTCCTGAGAGGGTCGAGCTTCAGAGCCCCCAAGCAGTACCTTGAACGTGCCTTCGCTGCGGCTCGCCAGTCGAAAAGGCACTTGCTTAGATATTAACAATGCCTATCCACTAGTAGGTGCAGTCCATGATCCGCAACGTATGAACAAGTTTCAATGGCTGTTCTCGGACTAGAAATGACGTAAGCCATAGCCAGTAGTATCCATCGGCCCATCAGCTGCCATTAACATTGTAGGGATTACTTGTGCTTTCGATGGGCATTCAGCTCACCTGGGACAAATTGTATAACACCGCAGAATCTCGAGATCGTGTGGTCCCCTCTTCGCGGCCGCGACGCAGCATTAACGTGCGAAGTCCATCCTTATGGTGCTCTGCGGGCGAAACTGCAGTCCCCGAAATTTTGCTACGTGTTTGTTCCGACCAAAGTTTGCCTTAATGAAGCACGTGTGATCGCCACACTGGGTCACCTCACCCACCACGACGCAACCACAGTGTACCATTTGCCCCCAGCGCGGTCTCAAATTTGTATGTATTTTTATCCTTAGTTATATTACTTGACCCTCCCTCTTTGGCACATGCCGCACTGGTCAGATGGCAGTGGTTATCGACCCTTTTCATCCTCTACCTCAGGATACCGGTACCTAGTATACGGTACATAACTAGCAATCACAAGTAGCGTCGAAACCGTGTTTGTCGTCGAGGTTGGCGAGGTGACCTAGTGTGACAATCACACTTACCTTGTTAGGGCAAAATTTAGCCGGCGAACCAATACTGGTTTTGGATTGGCAACTGAATGAATAGCGTTCGATGAAGAGATTGCGCAGCCAAATGTATATATCCACGTCCAGCGACTGTGAGCTCTCTGAAAGCTGCGACAAACTCTGCTACAATGTCTGGAGCAGTTTTACCATCACAAACGTCCCTCAATGTCACACTTGGGGCTCTCCTACTAGGCGGCTTCGCATCAGCAGTGTGAGCGATGTCTGTCCTCTTGCAAGCTTTCCTCATGTGTTATCTCGCAGCCTCTTCGGTATATTCTGCCAGCAATGCCTCACGTTCCTCCAAAGGTTTACGAAGGAAGGCGCGGTACTGAAATACTCTGTACGTACTGTAGCCGTACGTATACCTGCGCCTGTGTAAATGTGATGCTGCTGGTAAATTGCGGTGCTGTGGCAAGCTATCCAAGCAAGTTCATTATTGTAACGGCAAGTAACTCATACGTACATCTTTTCAGGGCTCTTGGCTCGACGCATCTGGCCTTAACCATATACCTGGTCTACACGTCAGCCGGCATGGAAGGTCATCCATCCTTGCGTTGACTGCCAACCGCTGACATCATACTGCCACGGAGGTTCTTGATTATTGACATAAGTTCGCCATCCAACCATGCCTCGCTGTACGTCGGTCTGCTTCAGACCATCAGTCGCTGTACACTGAACTTTGTGGAACCCAACAGGACTGCTGCAGTGAGTAGTCGTTTTTATGTGCTTATCTACCGGAACTTCAAACATATACAATAGGGAATTATTCTCGTCACCGTAAGCCGCAGCTCGAGCCTCTGGGAGTTCAATCCATACTCTATGCCAGCATGTATGCTTACCACTACGCTCGTAGGGAGTTGGAGACGTTTTAGTGCGGAGGTAAGTGTCATAAGCCCGAGTGCTGCGCCTTATTTTGATCAGCCATTTTCTTACAGCTGGTTCGTGTATCGGCTTTGGATCTGTGCGCAATATGTTGGCCGTGAGAGCGTAGGGTAATGGTAAACTGACCTTGACTTCTTATTAATCGAGAACAGGCGAGTTTTGATCATGGTTCCGGTACGAACTGTCATCATAATTTGTTTTCTAGTAGCCTTTCTGCTGAGCCTCGCTGTTACAGTTCATGTGGAATATGGCTATTCTAGGTTCGGCCTCTTGGACTCTACTGGCTTGCTTTATGGTAATCATTCTATCTCGCAGGTTGTACGCTCTGTACGTGCATATCGACCTATGTCGCTTACAATCATCTCGCTCACAACTATTTGGGATGGGTGGGCATCAGTATTCAAATGTTAGAATCTTTCTCCCCCTGTAATCTTGCATCTATGACTGATAAGTTTTGCTAGAATAGCAGCAAGGACCCTGGATTTTACGCCTATGCTGAACCTATGTCTCACAAGACAAGTTCACCTTCGCATTGATATGCAACTGGCTACAGCGTATTTTTATTGCTGACTTGGTTCTGATCATTACTGCGGATTTCTACATCTCTGCATCCGTCTGCTATTTTCTTTACCGTCGTCGTAATGAAGCCACCTTCCAGTAAGTGGTCAAAGAGCCCCCTCTCCTCTTGCATAACTAATAGCCGCTAGCAGTGGCCTACTATCCGTAATCAACGCGGTGATTGAGTACGCGATCAGCACCGGACTTATCAGAAGGCGTGTGATATATTCGATGTTCGGCCGGCATACTCTCCTCACACGCGACCGAACATGCACAGCATGGCCTGGCTGGTGTGTTTAATCACAGTAAGTTTGCCGATAGGTCTCACACCGCGACGTTAGTCACGCTGACCCATATCTGCGAGCACATCGCTATTCACAAAAGCTTTGTCGCATTTGCATGTAAGTATCATGATTTCTGCGGAAATATGGCGATCAACTGTTTTATAGTCTATTTACTTATAAAAGACAGTGAGTCGGTCTATCATCTTTAGCTTAGCCCTGCAGTCAAGCCTCGACACACGCTTACTGGGGTGAACAGCATACAATATCTGTTTGGTAGCCTCGTGAGTATTTGATTCGTTTTTGGTGGAATAAACACCTCATCTTACTGCGTTCTTGCGGTCTCAATGCCCGAGAATGGTTTCGCAAACAGATTGGAGGCCAAGTGGTTACTGTTCAGATGTCGTCCTTTGGAGCTGCCGCCACCGACTCTTCGAGGGACACCGCGGAAGACAATCCGTAACCAGAACGGAGCCGCTGCATGGTGAAATTTGCTCAAATGCAGCCCCTATAGACTGAGATCACGTACAAACCACACAGGGAAACGAATGCAGGAGATGGCGTGTAGGTCGAAAAGAGCTCTGTTCAGCCCCTGGAGGCTGTGTGCCAGATCTCGTTCTCGCCCTGTCTCAACAAACCTAGTGGGGCAGGCGAGGACATACAAAGCTTCCTGTGCTGATATTTCGTGACTGTACAAGAGAGAGCATGAATATATTGGAGTGCTGCTTGAAATACACCGCGGCCTGAAGCGAGCACACGTCCCGCCAGATGTGCCAGGAGTTGATGAAGGAAGAACGTTTGCTTACGTTTCCTGGATCCGCGACTCCATTTCCTGCAGGTCTCCACTTTTCCTTCCTTCCTCAAGGCCCCAGCGCTCGTCGACCTGCGTGTGCAGCGACAAGCCCTTCATCGCGAAGCTCGCGAGGAATCCCACGTCCGCGATGCCAATCATCACGCGCCAGATGAGCGTAATCGAATCTGCGAATGCAATGCGCACCTCTGTCTGCAGCTGTTCTGACAGCGTCGAGATCACAGAGATGGTCCTGTACGCAGTCGCAACGCCCTGCAAGAACTGCTTGAGGAACACCGTCGGAAGGCGCGACGTCAGCTGTGTATGCAGTACTGCAGTCCTGATCTTCACGCCCCAAACCTAGCGAGCAGTCAGCATTGTGATTTGTTTGCATAAAAGGGAGAGAAGATCGGCCATACACCAGTGAATACACGACAAGGGGAGAAGAACGCCATCGCATGGGCATTCTTTGATATCGGCAGGGGAGCAAGCACCGGGTAGTATATCGCCTGGTAGAGGAACCCGGCACCTACGTCGACCATTGATGGGATCCCGATAGACATGGATGTGCCGGAGTCTGCCTTGAGAGTCGACATGGCTTCCATGGCGGCTATGAGTAATGTCCAGCCAAGGTAAAGCTGCAGCCTGTATGCCTTCGTCTTGGTAATTGAGATGCCGGAGACGATGACCATTGGGGCTATAACAAGGCAGACCGGAAGAAATTCGATGCCGGAGTACAGGGGAGTAAAGAACCATCATACTTAGTAGTAAGTAAGCAGATAGTCTAATGAAAAAATTGAACCTCAAATGAGACGGCATGGTAGTGTATACATTCACAAATAACGGCGACGACAACGACGGGTGCATGAAACGTCTGCACATATCTGAAAACAATACTCGGGGCCTCAGTCGACTGCTGAAAGCGAGAGATGTTCACCGGCTGAGGCTAATCCGATTGGATATCAGCGTAAACTGAACCTTGACAGTGCTGATGTCAGCGGTTGGGAAGTATTGTCCAGCGAGTGAGAATGTACCAAAGTCTCTTGTGTTATCGACGCCTCAAATAGTGTCTGAGGGTCCGGTCCAGTCTGGTCTTTTCCGGGAATTGCATGGGACCAGGACTCTGACTGGTCAAGGACCAGCAGAAGTTTGTGCAGGACCGGACCAAGACTGGGTCCTGGTCCTATACAGTCCTCCTTGCAGTCCATGACTGGTCATGACCGGTCTAAGACTGAATTCGGTCTATGACCGATTCAGACTGGCTCAGACCGGTCTTCCCCTAGTAGATTTCGCACAAATCAGAGGTTTCGACACAGAGCAGCATGTATAAGTAGACTAGTGGAATACTAAGCTAATTTCGAGTCATACAACGTGCGCACGAGGCGCCGGTGAACATGCGCTCGAAAATCGAAATAATATAAAAACGACGCCCCGCTCACACGTCTGAGCGATGAATAGAAGAGAGAGGCACCAAAATACTGTTTCTGTCATCCTCAGCATCACTGTATAGAACCTCCGCATCTTCCAAGGCCTTGTACTCTTCAAGTTCCATCTCAAGCTCCACCTCTTCCATCTGCTCTGAGTTTACATGGGCATAGTCAACAATCATGTCGCGCCAGTGGAAGTTGAGGGCTTCAAGAGCCTCAAAGATATCAGAGCCGAGTAATGAGCGACGGTCGGTGTTCACCAGCTTTGCCCGTGAGAAGAGCCGTTCGCACAATACCAACGATGCAGGTATTCCGAGGATGTCAAGAGCCATCCTAGCAAGCGTAGGATAGATGTGCTTGTGGGCCTAGATGTCCAGCAGTCAGTGTGTAACTTTCAGCATGCAGCAATGAACATACATGCCACCATGCAACTGTGTCAGTGTCCTTTGTGACGTCAGGACAGGGATCTTCACGGTAGGGCTTCAGTTCAGCACGCCAACCACCAGCTGCCGTGCTGAAACGCGCCCTGCGAGAGCGGTCAAAGTCGTCCTCATCATCGTCGGTGGTGGCCGCAGAGCTTTGTGTAGCTGCTTTCCCAACGCCGCCAGCCGAGGTGACAGTTTCCTTTGCCCGATCTTGCTTCGCGCCAAATCGCTTGGGCCAATACTCCTCCATCTATGATAGCCGGTAAGCTCGAGCTTCAAGGTCACAAGCGGATGAATATCTTACCGCTTTTTCAATGATTTCCTCAGCGTGTTCTTGCCAGTTGACTGCGTCAAGGTTTCCTGCCTTCATCGCCTCCTCCTGCTCCTTCTTACTGCCCCATTTCATCTCTATGTAGTCCGACTTATAGTACGGATGAAGGACTGCATGCTAAACGTAAGCTAGATGCACGAGCACAGAGAGGATGGGACAACAGCTTACGGAGTGCGAGAACATATGCATGTGAGTCATCAAGCTTCCAGTAATACTTGCTAAGCTTGTCGACGCCATCATGAAGGGCAGGGTGAAATTTCTCGTAGCGCTTGTCATCGGCCTTCTTCTCCCACCGCGCGCACAAGTTCTCCAGCGCAGGAATTGCGCGGTGGAGGGTGGGAATGCGATCAGCCGAGAAGTGTTGCTGGTACTTGTTCGCATCCTAATGCTTTGTCAGTGTGCTCACATATGATATGGCATAAGAAAAGATGGCGTACTGCAAGAATATCAGCGCACAACTGGACCCGGGCCCAGTCCTCCTCTTGAATCATGAATGCGGTCCATGGAATCTTCTTCGCTACCTTTCCGTTCTTGCGAATGACAGTGATTGGACCGAAGAGCTCGTCTGCAGTTGCTGTAAAAAGTCGGAGGATCTGAGAGAAAGGTCAGTAAAACGCACGATTCACGGAGACATTCACAAACCTTCTTAAGTTTATGTGCGCGCGTTAACATCTTGTATGCGCTGCCCCATCGGGTGTTGTTCTGTAGCAGTACGACAAGTGCTTTGGCGATGCCATTTTCAACTTGAAGTTGCTGGAAGCGCTGCTTACGCTGTCCCGAGGCCTGTATCTACACGAAGTTAATAGGATAAAATATATAGAGGCAAGCGTCATGGCTGAAATACCTTGATAACAAGTGTGCGAATAGTGGCAATGACGTCGAGACCGTCATGAAGAAGATTTTCATTGGCACTCGGGTCGTAGTCCCAGATGGACTGCTTCGACTCGAGCACAGCCACCTTGGTTACCGCGGCCATAAAAGCCTCTGTGCCCAAGGAGACTACATGCGCCAGACAGCTAAACGACAAGTGGTATCAGTAGAAGCGTCATGAATATTGATACATGACGTACCTAAGCTTGCGTTCCTCTGCACTCCAGCCAGCAATGCCGCGGCGAGCAAATGTAGTCTCGACTTTGAGCGCTGTCGTGTCATTATTGCTTGCGTTATCTGCAGTAACGTAGCCAAGCTGTAAATAAGGTGAGTCAAGTGATAACAGTTAAAATTAAGCGTACATCACCTTGCTTTTTGTCTTTGAGACAATGCCTACGCGCTCGAGAAACTTCAAGAAGTACCGTCCAAGGTTCTGGCCATCATGCGCGCCGACAACAACATTGAAGCCTAATACCTCTGACCGAAGCTTCCAGCCATCGGGAGAGACATCGATCCATTGACCCGTAATGCCAAAGCACGGATCACTCGTGTGTTCACGCGTCCATAGGTCCCAATTAACAGAGATCTCACCAGGGGCATTCTCGATCGCCGTCTTGGTGTTACTGATATACTCGACAAACTTGTTGCAGATGTTCTGCCGCACTGTCCAAGTCGTCGGGAGCTCTTCACGCGTGGTTTTTGGGCGCATGACAACAAGTACGTTAGTGAACGCAACTTCATCTGCAAGCGCAAGAGGCTAAGTAAGTGTTCAACAATCAGCCGGAGGAACTCTCGGATCATCAAATAAGGTATGCACCAAGTTGGATACTATGATCATTGTGCTAATGGCATTGAGGGCCATCCACTTGGTAAACTCTGGTATCTTCGCGAGCTTCTGAACAATGCCATCTAGTGACGACTAAGTGCCAGTCTTTGTTGTCTTAGAAGATGCTGCAGCTGCCGTTTCGCGTGCCTTGCGAACTTTGACAGGGATAGCCTCTTTGCTCTCCTTGATGTCCGCTTCCTTGCAGCGCATTTGGTAAAGTGCGTAGTGGCGTGAGGCAATGTGGCGGCGCAAACTTGAGTTGCCTCCGACGAGCCATCCCCGAGGGCGATGCTTGAATCCCTTTGCTTTGGGATCATCCCTAATGACAGTGGTGAGTGCTTGCAGTAGAACTCAAGTAGTAGCGTGCACTCACCTGCACACTGTGCACCACCGGCCGCTTTCCACAGTAATACTGCCATCGGGAGGGCCCTTGATCTTGAGCTTAGTGCTCGCAGTGAAAAAGAGGTCGAGGTCACGGGTCGTCTCGCCCTTCAGAGCAATCGCCTCAGCTTCTTTAAGCACAACTTTGTCATCCTGTGGGAAGACATTGCCCAATGTGGTGAGCCATGCAGACACTGAACGAACACGGCACTTACGTTGACTTCAATAGGGGCTTCGCTGTCAACAGAGCCCATGTTCACTTCGATTACTTCGCCATTATCGTCATCATCTGTGGAGCTGCTGCCATCGCTGGAGTCTGCATCTTCATCATCTGCATCTTCATCTTCTTTGGCTTCCTTGGCCTCTTTAGCACGGCGAGACAGTTTGCGCAGACGCTTTGGCCGCTTCTTCGGTGCATCACTGGTTTCCTCTATGTCGGAGATTACGCTGCTCTTGCGCTTAGGAGTAAGTGTGGCGGTTGTGGACGCTTTCCCAGCGGCTTTCTGCGCTGCGGCCTTCAGTGCTTTCTTTTCAGCGGACTTTGCCATCCTGATGTGGAACGAATTCCTTACTGCTTCTGGTATGTCATTCCCCGCAACTTTGCCAAAAAAATTCGGCATATGCTGAATGTTCTGTATAGTTTGATCACACTTGGTAGTTAGTCACACTTCTGTCACGCTGCAGCTTTCACTGAGTATGTATTCACTTTCAAATAAATCTAATTGGAGTTTTAAATAATGCATAGACTCTAGCTTAAGTTCCCTATGTAACCGGATAAGCTTACAAGAGCATAGCAGCTCTTCAGAAATTAAAATATACATATGCCAGTGGCCAGGCCATTCTCTGGGTGCCACAGTTTCATTATTTTTAATCAGTCTATGACTGGTCCTGACTGGTCATGACCAGTCCTAAGAACACCCGAGGCCAGCTGGACCAAGGACTGTGACCAAGACTGGACTGACATAGGACTGGACCATACCCAGTCCTAATCAGTCCAGTCTCAGTCTGAGTCCCAGTCCTAACCGGTCCTTAGGACTGGACCCTCGACCACTAGCCTCAAAGGCTATGGACCTAATTATATAGACAGTGCCAATTATCAGAGGCGCAAGAGCATGGGCAGACGACCACAAATACTGGACTCCAACCCAGGTTAGGCCCAAGACACATGCCGGAGATGAGGCAGTAATCAACTTAGGCGGAGGAAGAAGACGAGGACGGCGGCCACGCCGTTGATAGGCAGATTCAAGTCTATGTAGACAAGTACTTTAATTGGGCAGCAGAGGGTCGGACGCACAAAATAACCAGTGCCATTGACCTTCTTTCGCTAATTTGAAGGCGACGCCTACTATACGACCGATGGTGCATGCTATGGCCCAAAATCTGTAGAGCGCCGGCTGTCAGATGTATAATAACCGGCAGCCGCGAAGTCAACGCATATGCCAATCAACGCAGTGAAAGCAGCACGTTCTGCCAAGTGAACCAGGTCTATGACGATAATGCCGGTGGCGGAGAGGATTCCGCCTCCACTGACGCCCCGGACAGCCGAAGCAAACGTGGTGAGACGGGATTAGTGATGTGCGGGCCTGGCTTGGGCTCAAAGCCCGGGCTTGGGCTTGTGGCGACGTCGAGCCGAGCCCTGAGCCCGAGCCGAGCCCGAGCCCGGCCCAAGCCTTGGGCTTAAGCCCGGGCTTGCTCACAATACAACGAGTGTTCCGGTGCTATCAAAAGGGAATGTATTTGGGCGTAGTAGATTAATACTGCATGTACTCACTAAATTTTAACCTCCAGAAGATCTACATCTGCGGAACAAGTCGAGTCGCAGCGAAGTCCACGAGCGTGCGCCTACGGCAGGCACCAGATGGTGACGCACAATCGTGCTCGGCGGGAGCCGTTACATCTATAATATCTACATTTTGTCTTCTATGTGCATATTAGGTCGCTCTCTCCTCATTCTGAACTCAGGGAACGGTAACGGAGCCAGCACACCCAAGCCTGGGCTTCCGGGCCGGGCTTGGGCTTGACTACGCTCCGAGCCCGGCCTTGAGCCCGCTGCCAGGCTTGACTCGGGCCAGGCTTTTTGGGCCGGGCTTGGCGGGCTTGGAGGCTTTGAGGCCCGGCCCGCACATCACTAGACGGGATCATGGCGGACCTTTGATGAAAGAGCACTTACTCCTTGCCGCGATCAGCCAAATCATACCCTGCTCGGCACCACACAGGGCACTTCCGAGGGCGAACGTTGCAAGGGCAACAATCATCAACTTGAAGATACAACGATCGAACACCTATATGGTGTGAGCTGTAGGGCAAAACGAGAAGTACTGTACCCGTACGACCAGCCCGGCGCGTCACGCGTCACATAGCCCGCTCATGAGAGCAGCGGTCACGAACACCGTGACCAGGCAACGTACGAGCGGAAGTAACAGTCTTGCGGTGTCAAAAGCGAGAGGTAGGAGTGGGAAGTTTCCGACAGTGCGTTTGCATATGTGTACGGCGCTGACCGCCGTTCATCATCGCTGTACATGGGAGTAGGCACCAATGGAGGAGATGACGCGAGATGGAAAGAGGATTACGTCGGGGGGCCGACAAACGGCCTATCATAAAAACTGATTATTGCTGATCCCATTGCGAAAGGTCGTGGCGGGAAGAAGCGGTGACACTTTGGCGCAGCGAATGGGTTTCATGAAAAGATGTGTCTATCATAGAGGCGCTGGGGACGAGCACACCTGGCACTGTCAACGACATGCATGAGAATGCAACTACGTCGGTAGTGCTGCACATCCATCTTGCACGCAATGATATCGGCAGCCCAAGAGACGCCTAGTAAAGGCGCCCGACGATCGTTCCCCGCACAGGGTCGTGTCCTCATAATCTCCTCATAGACATACCCCATCACGCACCGCGTTCACAAACCCAGCCGCCATTCGAATGTTGCCTGTAACACCGTGACCAAACTGGCTCGAAGCAGGTATATTAATGTACGTACTCACCGAGGAGAGCGCCTTACAGGTCATACGCCTATATTTGGACCATAAAGTGGCAACGCTCGCGGATGTCTTATCTTGGTCCCACAGTCTCCTGTCAAACTAATATTTGTCTTTTGAATGTCAAGGGGTGTGTTCGAGGTCGACGGAACAGGCACTAAGGCGCAGAGATGAAACAAAGATGCCATTTAGCGAGACGGGACTTGTAGAAGCGCAATGCATTTCCTGCGTGTCCTTCCGTCTTCCCGTCTCTTTATTACCAATATGACCTTTGTCGACGCGACAATACAGCGGAGAAGTACTCACGGTCAGGGCCTCATGCTAGAGATGCTACTCATCATTTGCAGATGACAGGCCGAATCAGCGGAGACTGCATATCCATGCGAAGTGGCTCAAAATTGACTTTGAGAGCTAAATTAATGTCTACTAACCACGACGAGGACCATTCACCTGAAGCATAACCAAGATCGTAGGCTTTCGTCTCCGGCGTCGTGATGGGAAAATCAGCCGGGAGATAACGATCGTGGCTAGCTGACCACATACGGAGACAAACCTAGCTTGCGCTGCTGTTAATATATAGGCGGTAATCTGGAAGGCGTGATCTAGACGAAGGATGGGAAGGTCGTATGAAAAGCCTTCACACGGGGAGTACCTCGTACACCAGAAGGCCGCCGGGCTACGGATCAATTCCGCACGGGGCCTTCCATGTCCTGAGTAAAATAAATATGGTAAAATTAGTGTCCGGTATGGTTCAGCTGTGCGACACGCACCTCGAGCAATGCGATAAAATAGCAGCTCCTCCAGCGGGACTTGAAGCTTGAAGTTAAGAGAAAAGCCACATTAGCGCCTGTAGCAATTTCTCGGATCCCAGCTTGACCAGTAAAATCGGCAAATAAATGCTATAGATTAGCTTCCATATCGAAGTGGAGGCAATGCACCAGCGAAAAGTCGGTGTATGGTCAGGATGGATGTTGGGGGCGAGAGATAAAGCTTTGTGGCGCTCGGTCAGTACCGTGGGAGAAAGATAAGATGAGGTTACCGTATCACATGAAGATACTTTGATAAGGTGGGCCGACTCACTGGCAAAGAAGTAGCTTTCAGGGGCCTTCTCGGATGAGACATATACTTAGCGTGTAGGTTCTCGCAGCGGGAGAACCCGCGGCATCTCAAACCTCCCCCATAGCCATTGTTCGAAGTGTTCTTGGTGATTGCTGGCGCATGCAGCCTATTAACTACAGCTTTGGGCACCTCCAGTACGAGTCATCTTGGCAGCGCGGGGATCTCACAGGCTAAATGCCAGAGGAGAAATTCCACAAGGAGCTGAGCTCAGCGTTTATCTTTGTGAAACGCAAGGTTTCGATGCCATGAAGCCATATTGCCCGGCCTTGCGATGACATCACAAGCACTCGGCCACTAGCCGACCCTCAGGACATCGTGCATGCGTGGACTGAAGACTTATTCCTGCGAGAGGGCGCACAAAGCATTACCGCCACCATGGAGATTAGTTATTTTTCAGTGGTCTACTCACTTCTTGCATGTAGATAACTCCATGAATGAGCCTCACAGCTGAAGCTACAGTTCTTATTGCGGACCAACTCTTGTCTATGAGAACGGGTTAGCGTGTTCTATATGCTTGTGCCACACGTTAGTAGTGCAGAAAGCGCGCAGCTCACAGGAGCTTGGCCAGTGGGCGGTCTGCTCCTCGCGGGCGGCCGCGCGCTTCGTCGAGTACACTTCAATGCGCACGGCAAGCAGTAGACATGGGAGATTGCGATACGCTAGACCTCGCGCTCTTGGAGATTGGTCTATCTCGCCATTTTCCAGTGGTCAAGCACCAAGTCTATGTTGAGGGCACGTGCATATACTTCGGAGCTTCGCTGATATTCCTTGCACCCGGGAGCTAAAGGCACGGGTCCTTCGAATTCGAGGGCCGACAGGCCAAAGCTCTTATAGCATTCATTTTATTCTATGCCCCGTTCACGCCGGTGGTCCCGTTCATGCGAGCTAAGAACGAAGAGGTGCTGAGCAGGCAATCTGGACAACAGCAGGATACTTACGCGAGACGTTCTCGTTTAAGAGGCCATTCCATATGCCTATTGGCTTCCACAACTAAGAAGCAGTAGTGGATACAACGGACACCTTAGCTGCAGACCTAACCTGCAGTTCATAAAGGTACAGGTTCGACAGTAGCAGGCGGCATGACTGTTGACGTCCTGCAGTACGCGCAGCGTTTCCGCGGGGAGGGAAAGGGAAGAGAGAAGTTTCATAGTAGTCGCACATTGTAAGGAAACGTTTATCCCATTGGTCGATACGACAGATGAGCGATTCGCAAGAATTTAATGAGAAAAAAGCAGGAAGAACTGGGAAATACGACGACCGGCGAGCGGAAGAAACGACTGGAAATAGGCGCCCAAAATCGTATCTGGGGAATACCGGACCAATCAGAGTGCTCGCAGCATCCTCCGGCTTTAGGCAGAGAATGGGGAGTGAAATTCGAGGAATAATCGGTGGGAAGCTGGCCCCTGTCCGTTTCGAACGAACTTCATCACCACCCCGCAGCCCCCTTTCTCCCTCGTCCCCCCCCGCCCACATCGTCTGATCTCCTACCCACGTTTTCCTGCATCGGTTAACAGCAGTTTTTCAAGCCTTCGGTCTTCGTGTTCGATTGGAGGAGCGGATGACAAGCACAGCCGTCGACATGCAGGTGGACGAGGGCACCGCCCGGCACACCCCCATCGAGGTGGACTCGCCGTCGCCGCCACCTGTTCAGCTACCTCCAAAGTCCTCAAATCCGTCCCCCGTTCCCGAGACAAACGTACTACAGACGAGGAGGAAGGCGAAAGTGCCATCGTCGGTGACCGCATCAGCAGCGGATCCCGCGTCCGCCGGCGCTAACAAACCTTTGACCACAACTACATTATCGACGAAACCCAAGTCAGGCAAACCAGCGTCGACAGCACCGATAAATGGACATAAGCCGAATTCAGCGTCTCCGTCGCCGCCGCCCCCGCCGCGCCCGGCGCTGCAGACTGTTCGTTTGGAAATCAAGCTCGGCGGTCCGGAAGATTATGAGGTCGATATTGCCCAGTTAAGCAAGGAAACTGGCCAGAGGCCGCCGACACCACCTCGCGCGGGCAGCCCACATCCAGATGAGAGCTCGGAAAGTGAAGTTGAGCCGTCAAAAGATGATGCAAAGCCGAAGAAGAAGCGGAAGAGAGTGAGTGTGCTGTTCGCGTCTCGGAACCTGCGGCTCAAGTGTATCCCCAGAAGAATGCTGCGCAAGAGTATTACGACGTCACAGATCCGTTCATCGACGACTCCGAGCTCGCAGTCGACGAGCGAACGTTCTTCGCACAGACGAAGCAGCAGGGCTTCTACGTATCGAGCGGACAGGTTGCTTTGCTCACAGACAAGTACGTTATGGCAGGGCTCATTCAGATGGTGGAATTTACTTGTCCTTCTAGACCTGCACCGAAGAAGAGCAAGGGCCGAGCTAGCAAGAAGCTCAACATCCTTCCACCTGCCGCCTCTATTACCGCCGCGCTCTCGAGCGCGCAGCTCCCGTCGCTCGCGCCGTTGTCCACTTCAAGTTCGAAGCTGAACGCAGGCGACAAGCCGCCCGTCCCCAAAGCTGTTGTCCCCACAATTGACACTGGCAGCCTATCTGCTCCCAGTTCCGCAAGAGTGCCTAAGTCCGAGCCATCCGAGGGCTTCCTCACCGGCACGAAGGATTCCCCAATACGGCTCGACGCAGATGATGTTCCCCAACCGGCAAGCCCTCACACCGAGAAGAGGAAGGTTTCCGAATCGATGCACGATGAAGGATTCCCGATCAGCCTCAGTGTCGGAGCGGACATCGACACGAAGAAGCGGAAGAGAGCTGTACCTATTGTGCGTCACCGGCATTGACATTCTGTAGCACTGCTGACGCCGTCTTCAGCGACCGTTTCACCCTGATCTTGAACCTGCTCTTGACGAGCTCAAGGCTGCGATCGCCCAAGGTACGCTGCGCTTCGTGCATTCCATGCGCTCTCGTTAACGCTACCTACCAGAGGATTGGTCTGTAAAGGGCAAGTTCCCTCCAGGTCTTAAGCCGTTACTCGCACAAGTGGCACTGAAAGCCATCGTTCTCGGCGACTACGACGAGAACTTCTTCAACCTCATGCCCAAGATCTTTCCGTACAACCGCTTCACGATGACGGTGAGTGCCTTCCACTTATGTGCTATTGAACGTGGGCTAAAAGCCACATACAGAAACTTATCAAGCGCACGGTATGGCGAGATCATACCAACCTGCTCGTCGAGCGCCAGAATGTATTACTAGAAGATCTCAAGAAGCTTGCAGAGGAAGGGTTCCCTAAGGCGGCAGACGAGTGGGAGCGTTCTGTACTGATGTGGGGTGCGTCCTCTCTTCTTATTTCTGCATGATCGTCTCTCTACAACACGACGCGCAGAACGACGGCAAAATGTTCGCACGGACGGTCAGGACGGTCAAGGGCATCCCCAGCCGCACTCGTCCGAGGGCACACCCATCCCTTCGTCTACGCATCCGACGCCTACATTCACCACCATGGTGCTGCAACCTGACAAGTCTGCAGACGACTCCGCGGACATGGACGTTGACGACGCGCACTTGTCCGTCCCGTCCGCGAACGGCAAGACCTCCCAGAATGCCAAGGATGTGCATCCACCGCAGAAGCGCTACAAACTCACAGACACGATGAAGGGGATCATTTGGCAGCTGGTGTGCTTGAGCAACGAGTGCTGTCGCATCGAGAATGAGAAAAAGTTCGTCGCTGTCACGGTTATTCCACGATGGCCGTATTGATCAGGGACTTCTCAGTGTGCTTGAAAACAACCATCAGGTCGTCAGCGACCAAGGTGTGCGCAAGACCCTCTATCAGAAGGTGCGACGCGTACCATCCTATTTTCAGTGTTGATGCTAACACCAAGGTCAGATCGTTGCTTGCTTCCCGGACGGTTGGTTGTCTTCGGGCCAGATCTCGCGCGAGGTTAGCGTGATGAAAAAAAAGTACGAGAAGGAGCTCGAGAACGAGAGCGAAACTTGATTTTGTGGTCCATCGCGCATCTTCACGCTGGTCCTTCCCCTCTTCGAGGATTACTTATCATACAGACACGCTTGCTGATATTGCTTATTGCTACTTTATGTATTTTCCCCTAGTAGTCACCTCCGGTTTCTTGGGCTTTATGTATGTATGTGATCTGTGCGCTGTAGTTTCCTTGCGTTGATGACTGCATGTACGAGCACCCCATGGCACTTGCCACGAAAGTCAGATGGGCTGTGGAAGGGGATGTCTCCGCAGATCCAAGCTACGTTAGTAGACGTACGATCTGCTTCTGGCAGGCTTTCGATAAGCATATAAGGAGCCTGACTATGATACAACATGAATAGTATGTGCATATTCAATAAATAACTCTGATCAGGGAAGTACTCTCCACAGACAAAGCAGCCTACGAAGCTGAGAGCCAGTCTCAAACACCGGAGGCACTAGGTCTCTCAGGAGACTAGTATGTTTCTTGAGATTCCACGATGACGCGGACGTGCAAGCTGCCATCGTTATGCGGAAGTTTGTCGCCATCGCCTGGCGGGGACTCGCTGCGCAACCAATATCTGGCGTTGTATCTAGGTTGTACACGTCAGGCATCCGATAGCTGCAAAAGGCTGGGACTACCCACGAGGCTAGCAAGGCGTTGACGTAGACTGCGTGGCTTTAGGTGTCAATGCTTTGCTATTTGAAATCGTGATGTTTGACCACTCACGGGGGCTTAAAGGGAAGAAAACTGGGAAATCTGCGTTCAGTTCAAGTAACAAGGGCGAAACCTACTTATACGTACCGGCGAGAAAGACATAGTTGTACGGCATCGTCGCATGCTATGGATTGAGAGGATAAGTACTCGACCATAATAAGCGAGGTTATCCGAGCCCTACTCACCGCGATCAGACTGGCTATGGATACGAGGCTGGCAAATATTGAGAGCACAGTAAATATTGTCAATAGTGCAATCACTTGCCTCGTGATGAGGCCAGTGTTTATCGTGTAGGCCAACATGATATTGATAAGCGAGTCGGTCCTGCGGTGCGCAATGCGTACAGAAGGTGCAGGACTACGATAATGATGTTCGTACCGTTTGATAAAGTTACCTTTCATGCTGGCGAGCAGGAAGGTGAGTCTTCCAGCGATGGTGAGGTCTGCGACAGCGACCATGATCAGGTTTGCGTTGTACAGAGCCTGTCGCAAAAAAGAAAAGGCTCAGAAAAACGAAACGCATTCGAAGTCGAACGCACCTCGATAGACTGGAAATCTTGAAGGGTTTTCAGCTTGAGTCTGCGTAACACGCTGAGAAACAAATTCTTCGCATAGTGTGTAGGATGCTTACGACCACACACCCACAGCTAGAGAAGGGATGAGCAATAACAGGATTTGTGCACAGAATATATACTCACTCATGGACACCCCTGCAAGCATGTCGGGTTAAATTGTGTACCGAGCCAGCAGGTGTGCAACTTGCCAAATAGACACAGCACCAGGAATACCTATAACGAACCATGAACAGACAAGCTTTGACATGTTGACGGAGCTTCGCACCAAGGGAAAGATGTACCACTGCGACGTCCTGTGCCCGCCCACTTAAAGGGGGCAGTCAGCCACAAGAAGGCGTTCTTGTTAGTTATGAACTCACAGATCCATGCTCGATGGACAAAACAGCTGGTCAACTCGTGAGCACGAGCGGTCGGGTGTAATGCTGTACAATCTCCGCACCTGCGAACGATCACATCATTGACGGCCTGCTAGGCGGTCAGTTGCACTGTTGTGCACACGCAAGAAAAGCACGAACCGCAACAACGACAAGAGCCTGAAAAATGTTTCAGGTTAGTAGCAAAGGAACGGCGGGAGATGGTGGCGCACGCGTATACTCCTAGAAGGGCTCGAATCACACAAGCTGTGCGTGGAGTGCAAAAATGCGGCGTACCAGGTGATATCCAAAACTTTTGACTCGTTGCCAAAATTTATAACTGCATACCTACAGATGCACGTTGTTAAATGACCTCGGGTGAAGACTCTGTGCTGTCCACTCGCCAGTACAGGGAATGCAGGACCAATCCGGTGTACAACGTGATAAGAACCCTGGACCATACGTGAGCGTCATAGATATCATTGCAGCTTCAGTCGCTCGTACGATAGAATAGCGATCTGATAGCACATAAATAACCGTGAGCTTTGAAGTGCGTTAGCTGGGACGCACCGGGTACTTGATGATAACCGCTGTATGTCTCTGGTTTGGACTTTGAAAGAAAGTATAACACTGCGAGCATACTATGCCGTACAGCCTTAGCGATCGGCAATTTATCAGATCATGACCAGGGGCAGCACGGATAGAATGCATACATCGAAGTGGCAAAGCCGCCTAGCAAAGCGGCACCGACGGTAGTGTTTAGGGTAGGGTTGATCACCATGGAGAAAGGTCGTTAGGGAGGAAACAAGACTTAGACAAGACGCTTCATTGCGCGCTCTATATACTGTAACTTGTAGAGCTTTGCTGTGTCCTTGACAAAGGAACAGATATCACAGAGCTTCTTTCGCACTCGCGCGTCCAGCGGGAACTAGAACCTGATGGAGATAAGTGAACCTTGTCAGTTGAGCTCAGCAGAAAGAGCAGGTACATGGACCTAGGCAACCGGTGTTGGGCAGATCTGGGGTCGGCCATGGTATCAGTGTGGTTCACAGCCCGATGCCCCGGTCCTGTGGTGGGATGTTGGCCTCTATTAAGATGTGTCCTCAGTAGCGACCAGGAATGGTACCTGAGAATACGTATCGCACTCGAAAGGGTGTATGCTCTTTCAAGTCATCCTACGCATCGATTCTTGAAGACAAGAATTGTGTCACGGCGAGCAGTCGGTGCAACTGCGGAAGCAAACACATGAGAAAACATCAAGATCTGAACAGTTGAATTTGCACTTGTAAGAAGCAGAGTGGGGTGACGAACAGATCTAGGTAGTCGAAAATCAAAATCCGAGCGGTGTACAGACCAACGGATGATAAGCAGCTCATCTATAAATGTTGTTGAGCTGAGCGGAAGCCATGGGCGGGCTCTATGGGAAGCCTTCGAGTAACAAGTAGTCCCAAGTAGAACACGACTCGGGGCTTCAACATGAAGATTGCTAGTACAACGCTGGTTGTGCTTTCCTAGATTGCTTGCAGGAGCAAAGCACGATTGCAGAAGTGACTCGGAGGTGCAACGGCTGTCTGGACGGGGCTGTGCTCACCACACACGACGCTTCTGCAACTAGGAGCGAAGAGTTCGACGATAATCTGAGAGAGGACGTAGATCTGTAGAGCTGTTTTACAGAATGAAAAAAAAAGGAATATTACTATACCCGCGCCGCCGGCATGAACTGCGCGGTGAAGTTGCTGGAGCGCCCTGGTCTTGCGTGACGTCATTTCAAGCTCTGGCGACGACGGCGAGGATCTCAGCAACATCGGCGGTCTGGTGGACGATAAAGAGCGCTGCTGTCATCAATACTGACCGTCCGGAGCAAACTCGTCTTGCTCAGTGCTGAATGCAGTGTGTCCGAAAGTGAACACGTTTCTAGTATGACGCACCCGGTCACGCTCCAGACGCGCACCTTGCTTTGCTTCCTACCACCACCACCACCACCACCACCTCCTCCTCCTCCTTTAAATTTTAATTCTAATCCGCGCATACAATGTCCGCATTCAAAGCAAGTCGGCCTGCAGGCACTGTCGAGGTCGGCGGTCCCAAAGTCGACGGTGAAACCCGCGTCCGCCGCCTCGCTAAGTCGGCTGACCGACTCGTGACGCAGCCTTTCGAGGGCATGGACACCGTTCACGACATCGTCGCGTACGCTGCGCGCGTACACGGTACACGAGATGCCTTCGGTTACCGGGACGTGATCGATATCGTCGAAGAGGAAAAGGAGATTAAGAAGGTCGTTGGAGGCAAGGAGGTCACCGAGGTCAAGAAATGGAAGTACTTCCACCTCAGTGACTTTAAGTTCATGTCGTACCTGGACGTTCAGGAGGCCGTTTCAGAGGTTGGGAGAGGATTCATTGAACTGGGAATTACGACAGAAGATATCGTGAACGTGTACTCTGCGACAAGGTGAGTTCCTCCCGTGATCCCCATCTTTTCCGCAGCGTCTCGTCTGTGACGTTTGGGGAGAGATACATGCTTTCCAGGCGATGAGTGGCATGGCTCTCTGCGGCTGACTCCGTTTGTTTGCAAGAGGACGCTCTAACCCCGGTCACTGCCAGTGCAGCTCAAGGCTGCGCTGGGCATCTCCGTAGACGCATCTTTGTTTGCGGTGTTGGGCCAACATGATGCTGTTGTGTGTTCTGTCGGGTTCCCACACCTATCTGAAAGTACGGTGCAGCTCTCTCCTCATCTCACCGTTACTAGGAACGCTTTCGTTTCCCCGAACTCGGGTATCTGGTCAGCGATTGTACGATCCGCGCAACCGCGGTGGGATACCCCCACGTTTGTCACCGCGATAATATGTAATGGCATCGCGTGACAGGCGGGATCTCATGAGCAACGTAAAGCGTTGCTGCCCTGCTGCGCTTTGCACTTTTGTAGACGCGTCTGCCTTGAACATCTCGCCGTTTCGCCAGTGCACTTCGTGATGCCCAACCTTGAATGGACGTTTTCGCTGATATCCGTGTTCACAGCGCCAACTGGCAGCTTATCTCGCTTGCGTGTTGTTCAATTAGCACCCCTATCGCAACTGCCTACGACAGCTTGGGGGAGAGTGGTCTGCAGCATTCTCTGAACGAGCCCGGCTGTGTCGCCATCTTCACCAACGCCGACCTTCTTTCCGTCGTCTCCAAGGTCGCTGCCAATGTGCCGACATTGCGTCTCGTGGTCTACGACGGTGAGGCGGACAACGCTGTACTGGACAAGATCCGCGGCGCACGCGAGAGTATACAAGTGCTCTCCATCGATGAGGTTCGCATGATTGGCCGAGAGAAGTCGAAGGATATCCTCAAGGCTCGCGTGCCCAAACCCGAGACCGTTGCCTGTATCATGTATACTTCCGGCACGACTGGTGCACCGAAGGGTGTCGTTATTACCCACGCCAACCTCATAGCCTCCATTGGTGCCATTTATGTCCTTCTTGGCCATCACCTGAAACCCGCCGATGCCTACCTCGCATACCTTCCGCTAGCGCACATCCTCGAATACGTAGTCGAGCTCGCACTTTTCTTTGTTGGCATGCCGTTTGGTTACGGGCGAGTCAAGACTCTTACTGACCAGAGCGTGCGTAAATGCCTTGGTGACATCCGTGCCTTCCGCCCGACTATCATGGTCGGCGTTCCCGCTGTCTGGGAGATGATTCGCAAGGGCATCGTTGGCAAGCTCAACCAGTCCGGCAACTTGAGGAAATCCATCTTCAACGGCGCCATCGCCATGAAGAAGTCTGGTATCCCCGGTGTCAGCACCATCATCGATTCGACTGTCCTCTCTGCAGTGAAGGCTGCCACCGGTGGTCGCCTACGTCTTGCCCTGAGTGGCGGTGCCGCACTCAGTCGCGAGACTCAAGAGTTCCTCCACCTGTCGCTCGTCACGATGCTTCAGGGCTATGGCATGACCGAGTCCTGCGGCATGTGCGCAATCCTCCCGCCCGAATATTTCAATTACGGCACCGTCGGTCTCATCATGCCTTCGGTCGAGGTCAAGCTCAAGGACGTTCCGGATGCAGGCTATCTGTCGACGAACAACCCACCACAAGGCGAGGTCCTCATCCGCGGTCCGTCTGTCATTAAGGGTTACTACAAGCGTGACGACCTGAACAACGACGAGAACATCTTCACGAAGGACGGCTGGATGCGCACGGGCGACGTCGGCCAATTTAACGCGGACGGCACGCTCACGCTCATCGACCGGATCAAGAACCTCATCAAGCTCCAGGGCGGCGAATACATCGCGCTCGAGCGCCTCGAGTCGATCTACAAGGCGTGCAACCTCGTCTCGAACGTCTGCGTATACGGGTCGCCGGAGGCGAAGCAGCCGATTGCGATCATCATCCCGCACGAGGCGAACCTCCGGCACGCCCTCGAAGAGAACCCGATACAGGGCGCCGTCGCACATGGGGACCTGCACGAGCTCTGTGCGAACAAGAAGGTCGAGGAGTTCGTCATGAAGGAATGTAATACGCTCGGGAAGAAGAATGGCTTCAAGCCGATGGAGCTCCTCGAGGCCGTCATCCTCACCGCGGACGAGTGGACACCCGAGAGTGGCCTCGTCACCGCAGCGCAGAAGGTTCAGCGCAAGAAGGTCGCAGAGAAGTTCGATGCCCAGATCAAGGTACGTCATGTTCGTGATTTCTCTGGGGAATCTTGTGAGCTAACATGATTCTGCGCGTCGGTAGGAGATCTACAGGCAACAGTAGAGAGGTACTACTGCCGCTTTCGGTTGCATCTACTCTTAGATGACTCTGGATATGTCTCTTCATCTTTTTCAGGCTTATGCCTCTGTAATAGTATGCTTCTTGCATCCACATTCTCACTGTAAATGGACTGCCCATATTTCTTTGTACCATAGCCAAGATTTCTTCATATCCCTGCCTTGGTCTGCTCCTTGTAATCATGTACACATGTATGACAGTTATTAGTGATGGCGTGCGTTACATCCAGAGGCGATGAGGGGAGCAGGAAGTTTCATATCGTAGCGGATGCGTAACCGAAGGTCGAGCCTTCAAGACCGCGTGCGACGAGCGTGAACTGCTGCGCGGCGTCCCGAATACGCTTGTTCGCCCTCGAGCTCCTGTTACCTCGTCAACATCACTTCGTCTGCCCCAATGATAACATGACTCACCCAAAGATCGTCTTGACAAACTTCTCTTTTGCCTCGTTCGTAGCCCGCGACGGCGCAAAGTCCGGCTGGATGACACGAGCCAGATTAGCACACACCGAATCGCCGCGTAAAAGCGCATCGCGTAAGTGATAACAGGCAAACAATAAGAAATAGATGAAAAGAGTTTTTTTAATGAAGTAAAACAGAAACGGATACGCACCGCATAGAGCACGTCCTCCATCCACACTTTGCTTGGTAATGGGTAGCGCTGCACGAGCGTCGAGAGCACCTCAACGAGGTTCGGCGACGCCGAGCGCGGTGCGACGCCCGCGAAGCCGTTCAGGACAGCACGCATGATGCTACGCCCGTGTGCTTGCCCCAGCGCGTCTTTCGCATCGCCGAGGTCTTCTGCAACGGCCGTGCGGCTGATGAGCGATGCCTACACAACGGTTATTAGTACGCGGAGTAGGTGAAGGTGGCCTATGATGACGCACAAGGAACTGGCATGCCAAGACGAGAGAGTAGCGCTCTTGTAGCGCGAGTGAGCTGACGGCGCACTGTATCAGAGCGTGGAACAAGTCCGGCGGCAGCTGGTAGAAGACGGGGATAAAGTGCTGGGCGACCATCTCGAGGAAGTTGAAGAAGGCTTGCACGATGTCTGGGTTCTGCGAAACAAAAACCGTAAGTCTCATTCCGCAAAACGCAGAGGTACGTACATCCACCATGGCTCCTGGCTGGCTGAAAAACCCGAGACAAGTCGGGAGCAGCGACGACAAAACGCTCAGTACCGTCTGCCGCGCATTCCCATCCGGAAAGGATTTGAGCGTAGAGAGCACGAGTGACGGCGGGTTGAGCTGGACGGCGAGCATATTCGCGAGGGACAGCCACACAGCCGTAAGCTGCTTTTGTGCCGCTATGCAGAGCAGCTCCAGAAGCGGACCAGGGGGCAGCGAGAGCAACGTTACGTCGGTCGGTAACGATGTGATGGCCTTATATAGCTCGCTTAACCCCTATGTAATGACGATGGACGATAAATACGATGATGGGAAGAAGGATTCTGAGGACTAACATTGCCGATGCTAGCGTCTGTCGACCACAGCTCGACGCTCTTCCGTATGCAGTCCAAAATCGCGTCCCGTATGCGAACGACACGAGGGTCCGCCCGTGCGCGTTTCATTCGCTCGGATTCCTTCTGCACGTCTGGAGAGTCGTCGAAAATGAGGAGAGAGTCGTTCGTGCGCGTCAGCCCGCGGGCGACGCCGGCTATGGTCTGCAGCTGCTGAACGGCTACCGCGCGAGCTTCATCGGGGAGCTTTGTACCATAGTCAAACTAGACAGCCGCAGTGCTGATATCTGAGCACTCACGTAAGTAGAAGACTGAAGTGCTTCATACAGCTTGGCGATTACGGGCCCAATGATAGCCTGTTGCGCCCGTCAGAAGCAAAGCCAGTGTAAGAAGAAAACAAACATGCACCTCTATTGGTGATATCTCCTCGTCCGCGGGTAGCGCCTGTATAACACTCGCTATCGACTGTAACACTTTGCTCTTCTCGACATCCTGCCGAAGTATCACGTCACCATTCGCCTACACGAAAAGAGGTCACGTACCGGCATCCCAGCGAGATTCGCATGCAGCGCGCTAAAGGCCGAGATGTGCGGCGCAAGCGCAGCACGATTTGCATCGCAGAGGTCGCGCAGGGTATTAGCTGCGGGCAGACAGAGGGCCAGCTCTGGCAAGGCAGCAACTACATATGATATTGCGTTCATGAGAAGTGAAGGGTACGGAGATCCTGGTGGAGACGTAGGCTGCGTGGTGAACCATGATGCGTACGTTCCTGCGGGGCAATTAGTAGAGACAACAATGAGATTGTTGCCGAACCGACCTATTACAACTATTGCTGTGCGCCGAATGCGATCTGCGCCTGTGGTGGGAAGGCGACCTAGAATTTCTGGTCCGAATAGCCGTCGGAGATATGGGTTGTCCTCGAGGGGTACACCTTCCTGTACCGCCATTAAACAGTGTAGGCTGGCTTCTATTACCTAGACTGAGAGTATGAGGCCTGGAGGAATACGACAAGTACATGCACTTACCTCCCAACTGTGTGTATTCTGTCTTGTGGACAGTCTATCTAGGATATCGTTGACAAAGTACGCTAGGAGATCGTCACGGAGGATGTAATAGCTGTGGTGCATTCAGTTCCATATCACACCTCCGATGAAAGGCACAAACTCACGCATTCAACAGCGTGTCACCGACGTCACGACGATATCTGTATATGCCTCAGTTGAGGCATGGCGAAACGAGGTGTCTTCTGGACTTACGACTGGTACCTGTCTTTCTGATCTTGATACACGTGAGAACGCTGAGGCACAACAACGTGGATCCGACGAACCTACCTCTCGGCCAATTCTGCAATACACTGTTCTCCGGCCAAGTAACCTTCCGCCGCAACACCTTGACAAGCTCAGAGTACAAGGCTTTCGCCACGCTCATCTGTTCTCCTTCGCGCTTGTTCGCAGGAGGAATGGAAGAATCCGAGTCGTATTCTAGGTCGCCGCCCCAGAGCGCTTCTTGGAAGAGATACCAGAACCCAAGCGTCATCTCGCTCTCTTCCTCGTCCGCACCATAATAGCCAGGGAGCGCAGTGTATGCCAGCATCTGCCGGAGGAATACTTGCACGAGATGACCTTTCGTTGGTAGAGGAGAAGGCACTGGTGCCACCAAGACAGGAGCGGCGACAGAAGAGGAGGAAAGGTTGGTGGCGAGATATTGCGTCGAGTGGTCACCAACCGCCGTCAGCAGCTTGCAATACGAATGTGAGACGGCGTCAGCAAAGCCCTCTAGTGCAATCGTCAAGATTATGGTATAGCGAACCAAGTTAAGCGAACCCACCTCTCAGAGTATTTTCGATTATTGCGCCACCGTAACGATCAAACCAGAGCAGGAGCGGCTCCGTCAGTGTCCTCGATCCCGACCCCCCAGACAATGCTGAGTTCGACATAATCTCTTGTAGTGAGTCCGACGCAGCCTCAAATTCTGCTTCGTCGAACTCATTTGAATCTTTCGATGGAGTCAAGACGTCGATGAGTTGGGGGATTAGTGGCGTCAGCTCGCTGGGAGGAGGTTGAGCACTGGTGGCGCGAGCGTGATGACACGACTTACTTGGAACGCATGAAAGGCAGCCATGCCTGGAAGCAGTTCAATGCTGCACGGAGCTCGTGAGGTGCAGGGTGCGGGCGCGGTCTCGTGATTGAATTGCTCACAGCCTGTGTGACCACAGGAACAGCCTCTATTACCATACCCTGGAGCTGCTGTCTAGCGCGTCACATGGTTAAGACAAAATGTAGAAGAGGACATGGCTGCATACGCACTTCTGCTGAGGCAACAGAGCCACGACCTCAGCCTCTTCTGCAGTTATGGCCAGAAAGTCCAGCAGCGCCTCCCCCGACGCTCCTCGGCTCGAGAGGGCTTGGATACAGGATTGTGGCCAGTCAGGCCATTGCGAAGGGGTTTTCGGACACATGTGAATCGCGAGAGAGGTGATCTGAAACTCCGTGAACGCGAATATCGGTAATGCACACCTCTAGAGAACGCACTGCGACATAGAGCTTGCGAAGGATGACTCTTGGGGCACTCGCAGCCATGTAGCGGCCGGTGATGTCGACCAGGAACTCGCGCAGCTGTGGCGCGCTTTCTTCTGGGAATGTAGACCTACGTCTCTTCGTGAGGTCACGCAGGCTTTCACTGCCCTTGTGAGAAGCATACCAGTCTCGTGCAATCTTGACTTGTAAAGTGTGCGCTCCAAAGAATTGTACATTGTGGTCTGAATGACTGAGGAAGGGTAGCACCAGGCCCCATGCTTCTGGTCGTTTTTGTACGTCGAAAAGCTCCTGCTGCAGGTGGCGTTGGTCTTCTGAGGAGAGTTGGGAATGTGGCGAGTACGCTTGTAGTATTAGCTTTATCCAAGCTGTCAGCGAACGGTCTCATGTCGGCTCCGAGAACAGCCACTTGCCTGCGCTGCTCTTTCAACATCGCTTGGTGGTAGGACAGGGAGGAAGGAGGTTGGCGTAGAAGTCATCCGTTCGGGTGCAGGTCAAGAATATCGTGTCTCAATTTCTGGCGAATTTCCATAGCCGCCTGTATCAGACGCCCGTATTGTGCGCCAAACTGGCATGCTCGATGAACTCACACTTAATCCGTCGCACTTATCTAGTCTGAGATCTAGAATCTCGAGGCTTAATTCTGGACGTAGTTATGGAGGACGAAACCAGCCAGCCGGTTTGGAAGATGCCGACATACGACGCGTCGAGGGCACCGAAGCTCGAGTACGACGGCTCTCTGCTCGTGAATAATAACTTTGCCAGATGGGCTAAATGGTGGGCTCATATGTTCGATATCTAATTGCTGTGGCTCAGGGCGGGTCTTGTAGGTGCCCAGATGGCTCCGTCGCGCTCGCGCAGTGCGAGGACGCCAGTTTTCAATACTTGTACCTGTAAGCCTCTTGCAGTACGTAACGCATAGTGCTTCCACTCAACAATAAAAGCCCTTCAGAATTCACAGACTTCCCCGTTAACGCCTTAGCTGTTAAGAGTCGCAGGCTACCACAACCTGCGCCTATCCTTGATTTTGCGTGGTACCCTTTTGCTACAAGTCGCGACCCTGCAGCATTTTGCTTCGTCACGTCAGTGCGTGAAACGCCTGTCAAGCTTCTTGATGCAACAGATGGCAGGGTAAGAATCTATCTGATCTTTGCCGTTCCCTTAGGATTGCTAAGGATACCTGGTGAAGCTTCGCGCTTCGTACAGAATTGTGGACCATAGAGAGCGCCAAATTGCTCCGCATAGCCTTGCATTCAACGTAACGGCAACAAAGTGAGTTCTTCTACCCTTTTACAAACCTTCCCCTGTGACTCTTGAGCAGGCTATACTGTGGCTTCGAGGACGCCATCGAAGTGTTCGACGTTCATGTGCCGGGAGAGGGCACGCGGCTCCATATCACGCCTTCCAAGAAAAGTCGAGACGGGCTCAAAGGCTAGTAGCCTCCATCCTAGAAACTACCCACGAGCATGCATTGATTGTCAAGCAGGCATCGTGTCTGCATTAGCATTCTCCCCAGATGCTTCGTCGGGCATGTACGCGGCAGGCACCCTGAGCCCGTCCGCACCGTCCTCGAGCAATATTGCACTTTTCTCTGAGACAACGGGCGAAGTGCCTACAACGCTCCTCGGCGACATGCGTGACGGGCAATACGGAATCCGGGCCAGCGTTAATCAAGTGAGCTTTCTATGCTTTATTCAGCTCCTCTATATCCATGATTGAGGCAGCTTAGATTTAATCCTACGAGGCCGTACCTGCTGTACGCGTCATTCAGAAGACATGATACGATATACAACTGGGACCTTCGTGGGGACGTGACGAAGCCAATTCAGACATTTGTAGGGTCCTCAGTAGGTGTCATCGGGGACAGCAGCGTAGCGAGAAGCCAAATAGGGAGCGGCACTAATCAGCGTCTCCGGTTTGACATTGATATCACCGGAAACTGGCTGAGCACAGGTGATCATGTAAGTAATGAGTCTGTAGTAATGGGGATGTAAGGCTAACTTTTGACAGCATGGGGAGATTTCACTATTTGACCTGGGCTCGGTCGACCAGCATGTCCCTCCCGTGGTCGAGGATGAGACGGTCCCAGGTCGGATCGAACCCAAATTACGTTTCCGGGCACACAAGGGTAGGGACGCTCACACATTCCCTTCCAACATATCCTCTCAAGTTTTCGGTTTATCAGATGCTGTCGGCTCCGTGAGCTTCCACCCTCTGAAATCTCTGCTCCTGTCCGTTTCCGGCTCGAGGCACTACATCGAAGGAGATGAGTCGGACGATGAATCTAACAGCGGAAGTGAGGACGAGAATGTGTCGACCGTGCAAATCAACGTGCGGCGACCTCGGGAGCGGCCATCGCCCACCGTCAGAGACGCGTCGTTCAAGCTGTGGAATTTCGACAGTTCGCCGGAGGAAAGTCATGCAGATTCCGTTCCTTTGCACTTGTAGGGTAGGCGACGGTGGTTTTGTGGGCATAAGGCTGGATAACGTCCCGCATCCGCATTCTGACGTCATCGTTTGTCCCCGTACGATCAATGTTGCCATCATTCACAATATTTCCGCTCCCTCGAGGGACTGACCGGCCATAGATCGGCACTCACGCGCACGTATTGCACAGAAACTGCCATGCGCGCCTTTTCTTAACGACTGCGCGGCCCTTCATGGTCTTCTCGTTGCGCCTCATCGACATCTCTGAAACAAATTAATATCTCAAACTCTTGCTCAAACCAGACCTTTTCTCATTTCACAGCATATTACCCCTGTGGGTCGCGACCAAGTGGTTTAATGCTTGTTTTGAGGCAGATTGCAATGCGGTCTCGCGAAATGGGCGTCCCGGGACCCGGGACCTGAAGTTTATAAGATCCCTCCCTCGAGCATCGCAAACAATGCCATGACCTTTCTTCCCCGCTCTACTTCCGAGGATAAAACCTCGCTACGAGTGTGGTGCAAGGCCCCAAACTATTGACAGCAAGTTGCAGACAGGACTCGACAATCTTTGGCCTCAGCTCGCCCATTGATTGTCTCCTTTAAATGTGAGCTCCTGTCAGATATTTAATGGCTGTTCAGGCATGCTAACGCTTTTGTAAAGCATGACAAATCTTCTAAGAGCTGCTAAGAAAGTCGCGTCTTTTGTTAGACGGCGAGATTCTTCAGAGGAGGGTCACTCCCAAGAGTCTGTTCCCCCACGGCTCTCGCTCCGTAGACGTCTCAGTCAACGTCAACCTCCGTTTTCCGGATGCAAGTGGTCTTTCGTATGATATCTTGGATGCTTGTGTAAATTGACTAGAGATCTACAGGTCGCAGGCCGCTTACTACACGAGGCATCCTTCCGGGAGATATCCTCGACGTAATATTTACGATCCTGCGTGAAGATGAAATTGCGTACTGGGACACGCATCGTCGCTTCCCAAAAGACAGACGGTATTTGAGCACATGCGGCCTGGTGTCGAGCTATTGGCGCGAAGTCTCGCTGCAGCACCTCTTCCGTGACCTCGTCTTCACGCGTGGGCTCGTCGTACGCGGGGCATGTGAGGCCGCAAAACACCCACTCCACTGTGTCTGGTGCGGTTGCGCTTGTCACTGGGCCGAGACACAGCAGCGCCCAGAGAAACACTTCTCGTCCTTCTTGCGCTTCTTGCACGCGTCTCCGCGCGTGACCAAGCACACGCGGAGCCTCCGTGTGCGGACTTCACCGCTGGACATCCGTGAGGGTAAATTCAGCGTTGTAAACGGCGTAGTGCTTTTCCGCGTTCTCGGCGTACTACCTCGACTGGCCGTTCTACATCTCGAAGACATCGTTCTTTCCCCGCAACAGCAGCCCGCCGGGTTCTCTTTGCAGTGTCCTCCGCCGCTCGAGCAGCTCACGCTTAGCATAGGCCCCGCCAAGTTCTGGCACATACCGGCATCATGCATAGTCGACACTCTCGCGCACTTCCGCCGTGTGAATCGCCTGCGAATCCTGAATGTCGTTGGAGACGGCCCCTCCCCGTCCCCACAGCGTCTCGCGGCGACCGGCTCCGCGCTGCAGGCTGGATACATCACGCTCGACAACTGTCTCTTCACGAATGACGCAGTCGTCACATTTTTGGCTATGGCTTGTACGGACCACGCGAGGGTGCGCGTCACGATTCCCGAGAAACTGCAGGCGAAGCTTGGGCTACAGACGTTCGTCAGCATTGTTGCTCCGAGGCTCGAGCACCTGGAGTGCGAGATCATGCATGACTCCTTTCCCGCAAAGCAATGTAAGTCTTTCTTCCCCAACGTCCTCACTAGCATGCACTGATTCCACGGCTCCATACAGACCTTGCAAGGGCCCGCTCCCCTCCAGAGTGGCATTCACACAGCCCTACCTCCGCTCTTGACCTGCGACTCTGCACTGCGCTGAAGACCCTCAAGGTATCGCTGAGCCTCTCGCCAGACACGCTCACCCCCGACTTGCGCACAACTATCCTCCCGCTGCTCGCAAGTCTCCGAGAACGCCGCGGCCCCGCCCCTCCACTGCGCCTCTTGCTCCAGTGCACGCTCGCCGAAGCGCAGGCGCTGCATGACCTTGAGACGCAACCCATGCGCAGTGTACTCGCGGAGCTCGAGGACGTTCTCCTGGGGCTGCACAACGCCGCCGATCTATACGCGGTCACGTTCGTGCTCGGGCATGCTGGGGGCTGTGAATACGCATTCGAGACGGACAAGCCTGGTGCAGTTATGAGGGCTCTCTTGCCGCGGCTCGACCAGCGCAGACGATTGCATGTCGCGACTACTACGGACAGGGGGACGTAGGTTGTGGGTGCAATTAACGTTCTTCTGGTCGCCCCTTGGTGGTGATTTGGAGTAGGTCATGCTCGCATGTTTGCAGTATCGCCGTGGATGCTATGGGTCCTTGATATCTCAGATCGCAATCGTTGGGCTGCGCATGTGTGGGGAGTGCGAGAAAAGTTACTGGACGTAGTACGATGTTGAGATGGGTCAGCGGCCGCGGTAGATTGGATCTCATTATTCCAATGGATGTTCTGGTGCTCTGTTGACATACCGTATTTATAATTATATAACGAATCTCGGACGCCTGTAAATATAGCAAAGAATGCACAATTGTTTTTTACACCTACAACTATTAGCGCTTCCTAAGCAGCCACCGGCAAGGCGCGGTAGGTTCCTGCAGAGTGGTGAAAATACAATTTTCACAAGCGTTCAGGACCAAAATTGGGCGAAGTCCACAGCTTGCAATGGGAGAACATGGCCGCAAAACGTAACATGACATCAAGATACAAGTAGTGCTATCCGTTCAGCTCTGTTTTGCTGCTAGTCGAGTGTCGACTATCTCTTTCCATCGCCTGGCAGAGGCTCCTATATCCTTATATACATCTCCGGGACCGTGTATGCTCATTACTTCCCAGAAAATGCGGGAGGCAACGATGAACTGCGAAAAGGAAACGTCTCAGTTAAGATGCCCAGCTGATTACAAGAGTCTCTCACAATCTCCCGGCCAACGAGGAGATCGAAGCTTGCCAAAAGCTGATCGTCCTGGAGTTTAAATACTTGGCTGAAGGATTCGGCGTTCCGAAAGCCGTTCCACAACGTCTGAGAGAGTTCCTGATAACATGTGTCAGCTGCGTGTATGTTCCTGAAGAATTTTTGCTTTGGTTACATCACGATATCCGGGATCCGGTATCGCGCATGGGACGTCATTGGGTGCGACAAACAGTACGCGAGCAAAATGGCAGCATCTCTCAATGAAATAGTGTGCATGCCATACTGCCCTTGCTGTACCACAAAGATCATCAACGCGGGGCGGTGCAAGATACATGCACTTCGACGTACCAAGGGGGAAAAGCAAGGACAGGATTTCCGTATGTTCTGCCAGAGACGGGGAGAATTGAAGAGGCTTCGTACCAAGAAGGGCGATGCAGTGTTGCATACGTTGCTCTGCACTAAGTTCAAGCGTGCGTGAACGTAGGCCCATCCATCCGTCCCCGACCTCCACTCCCTCGCGGATGCTTCCGTCAAAGTTGCGCGCCACCATAACTGTGTTAAGCAAGGCGCGAGATTGTACCAAACCAGCGACCAGATGGGCGTACGCCTCAATCATCTGGGATTGTTCGGACAGCCTGAAGACCTCGCGGTTCTGCACCTCAGGGTCTATGGTATGCCATAGCTGATAAACGGCTTCGATTGGTTGAGAGGGGTCAACATCGAGTCTAGGAAGAACGTCAGCGGTGATGCCATGAAACGATAAGAGCAGAGATTGCACTGACTTTCCAAGCTCATCCGTATTATAGGCTATTCCGAGAAACTGAGAGAGCGACTTCAGTGTCGTATGTCGGATCTTGAAAGAAACGCGTAGGAGACTCTTGACCGGACTCAGCCCAGCCTTCCATACGCAACCGTCATCTATCCATAGTGTGTTTCAGAGCACGTTTCACTCGACTCACACCGTACAAAGCCCGTTGCACTACTGTAGAAGGCATTCTCATCCAGAGTTCACCAATGTACGTGGCGACGATGAGGTCCACGATGGGTTCCCAAAGCTCGGCAGGGAGTCCCGCGCCCTTTTTCATCGCAGTTCAGCACGGCCTCCAGTAGGACGGCAAATCCTGGCCAGATGTTCGTACACAGCGGTAGAGTGTCGCGGGAGTTAAGACGGAGAACGGGTCCGCGCTAGCATCTAGAGGCGCATCAAATATCCACGTGAGCGGGCGCATATCTAAATTCGGACGGGCGCATCAATATCTCTGAAAGGTTATTTTGGGTACTACTGCTTGGTGTTCGCCTTTCGACTCGGATATCTTGAAGCGTGGCCAGTAATTTGTGACCTGCTGTATGCTTGATTTTTGCACATTAATTATATTTCCAAGCATCGTAGCTTACATCAGGAAAATCTGACTCGAGCTACGAGCACTGATCAGTGCGTATAATATTCATAACCTTCATGAGCATCCGGGGGGTATTATGAGTGCTTACCGTTTTGACACACTTTCAACGAATGAATATAATCACAGAACAGCATGTTATAAGCAGGGCTGGGTATGATTATAATCACAAGCCGGCATAATTATGAGTAAGGCTCCAACCATTTAGTTTACGTGTAAACTTTTTTTGTAAACACACAGTAAATGGTTGTAAATGTTTATAAACAGTTTCTAAACAGTAAACAAACAGTTATTACAGGGATCTAACCCACTCTAGTGGATTGCACCAGATTAGCCTCTGAGAAACCTGTGTGAGCCTACTGCTCTACTTGAGCTTGAAAAGAGAGGTACAAATGTCAGTGCTTGAGCAACGCAAGGCGCTTGCTTGATGCGCAAGAGAAAAGCGAGGCTGCAGCTTCCTACTTACAATATTGATGTCCCAAACACTAGGCCCGACTCAGACGTGTATAGATAGTGCACCTACTCATGCGTACAGGGAAGGAGCAATGCGTGCATCACATCCCGAGCACGGACCAGCCATCAGGTAGCATCTGAACACTCCGTACCTCAAGCATCATGCTATGATCATCCCTATGGCCCGCTGGTGTCCCCTACGCATAGTACGCAGATTGCGAGCACACAAATAGTCTTGATCGGCCAGTGGAGGTTGCGAGAGGACAAACACTGGCAATCACAAGCTGTGGGAGCGGTATTGCCAGGCAGCACTGTACTGTGAGGGTAAGACCTACAAAGATATCTGTGAGGTTTGTAAGAAGCTTGTGGTTCTGCCTTTAGAAGGTTGGCATGTCCTATCATTGACCTCGTCGTTGAGAAGTGGGTCGATAACCTATCCAGTGTTAGCCTGGCACTTTGGGGGTGACACGACATACTCTCGCACTAGGACTTCGAGAGCTGGCCTAGAGAAGACTGCCGCATGGGTGAGGACCTCTGATAGCCCTTTTTTAGAGTCAATCTGCCTTAGTATCGCATGTGGTACTGTCATCGCTCAATGAGGTTGAAATAATATTAATATTGTTCCTCTTGAATGAAGTATGGGCTCATGACATTTCTGCATACCGCACTCTTGCAGGCAGGCTGCCAGTGCCCACAGTAGACTATATGTAGAGGAGCAGTCAATAAATACACATTATATTATATTTATAATGCTTGCCTTCAGACTGTGCTCAATACAAGTTAGAGACTACCATTACTCCCAGTAAGTCTCAGAGTATAGGCACTTAATACAATGCGCCAGGCTTGGGGGTTCAAAGAGGCCGCCCGAAGACGATGAACAGATGGTACGATGCACTCTTCAGCCCAATAAAGGTCAAGTCTGTTAGCAAGACTATGGATGTACAACACTAAGGCCCTATTCAGTAACACTCGAGTTTCCAAACTCACGTGGGTTGATGAACTCAGACCCAAGCGCTTATGTGACTTTGACGTGATTGTTTTGTGACCGTATGTGACAACCATGAAGCCTTTGCCTTGCTGTGTCGCGCAATTGGGCGACAGCACCTTCGTCGCACTATTCCTTTTTATATGACCCACTGAACTGCTGCTACTACCCTCAGTCAGCTTTTTCTGGGGGGCCTACAAAATGTTCTCAATGGGTATTTGCTGAGGAGCTTGCCTCCCTCAACTTTCTCATTGCTCATTGTGCCAAAGCTAGTGACAGCAGCTATTGGAAGCTGCAGAAGCCATTGCTCCGCTACAGGTGAAGAGCAAAGGAAAGGATGTGGAAGCACTCTTGAAGTAATACTACCACAATGAAGTACTAGCCTGGGAATATATAACAGCAGTAAAGGCAAGCAGTGGAAAGCTTCGAAACCAGCACTCTATGCTTCCCCCGTTGCTCAGCATGAGTCAGAAGGACAGTCCTAGCTCTTGCCATGACCAGTATCGAAGGGAATACAGCAGTGGCTTGTCCCGCAGACAATGGTTGTCATATTGTGTAAGCGTAATTACATGTGCAGGTGACAGCGCGTTGACTGGGCTGACAGCGCCGGAAGTCACACGAGTTCTGAAACTCAGCGAGTTTCAGAACTCAGGTGTTACTGAACAGGACCTAAGACCTTTTACAAACAATAAGAGGAAACTGTATGTTTACTGTGTATAAACGTTTACACCAAGTTTACATGACTTCATTTACACACACGAAAATGGTAAACAGTAATAAACGTTTATACACAGTAAACAAACAAAACGGTTGGAGTCTTAATTATGAGCACTGAGCAGTGGTAACCGTTTGGCAGTAAAAGGCCCAAAACTGTCCTCCGGTGCTCCAAAGCTCAGGCTTTGGTGCCGCCCGTCGTCGCTGTCAACAAACTCTCTGCAGCTTTTCAGATCTGCACGGCAGGAATCCGAACCGCAGAGCTAGCAGCACTAGCATATATCCACTCAGCCATCTGCCCGTTGCAACTTTTGTGAGTTCCTGCAATATGAACCTGCTCTCTGGCACTTATCCACCCATTGCGGCTCTCTCCTTTAAATCACCCACATTTATGAGTTATTTTTGCCCTTGCCTATAGTCCACAGCTATTTACTTCGTGGAGAAGCCCAGAGTTCTTTTATTGAAGGAGGCAGTGAGGAGCTATTGACTGCTGATGCAATGAAGAACTGCCTCTGAGTTGTGCTGTGGTGACAACAGCAGCCTGAGCAGCAGCAGCGACAGAGAGACAAGGGCCCGATGAACAAGGTTATTACATGTGCAGAAATCTGGGTGAGTATCACTGTGTCTGCTAGCAGCAGACAACTGCACAAGGCATTAATGCCTTTGCACGGGCTTGTAGTAGGAAGTTCCCTGCGCATATTCTGCCTGTGGTAGAATGCCCTCGCTTATAATCACTTATAACCAAAGGTCCCGTCAGAAAGATGTAACTATAATCAGGCCGGGGCACCATATCCACACTTGTTGTAAGAGTCGTAGTGTGCAGAACATGGACTTAGGTGAAGTCCGGGAAATGATATAGAAAGTGACTGGTAATACAGGAGGCCGAAGCTAAAGTACACGACATTTCCGGCTGGTATTTATACTAACCTAGCTACTGCGGGATCAGCAGAGAAGGGACAATGTATGTACGAGAATGTCCAGGAAATGGAAGTGGTTCGGAAATAACCCGGAAAGGAATAACTCGGAAAAGGGTGGAACCTTCGAGTAGTGCTATTTATCCGGAGAATAGAGAATAAAAGGAAAAACATATCTTGGGACTACGGACCGATCGTAACATTAGCTCCTTCTCTAGCCAATGAGCTCCGCAAATAAGTCTTGTAGGAGTATTTCAATCGAGGATAACAGGGTTAGCCTCGGAGTTCCCAGGGAAAGCGCGACCAATGACTCCAGTAGTAATTGGGCTACCAGAGCAGCGACGTTGCGGGTATAGAGTTGCTCGTCGAGGGGCTGTGGAGGAAGGTCCCGGGGGAGTGAAGAATTCGTTCGCAGTCTCCTGGGATGTGAAGCGCGTGCGGTTGGGGGAGCGTGAGTGAGAATCCTGTTCGCGAAAGGATTGAGGGTCGAGCTGATTCAGTTCGGCGG